TTTAACTACCAATATGACAAGCAATATCGTTATTTTCAAACCCTTGGGTGACGATAAAAAGCTTTTGAAACAACAACGTATTGTAATCTATATCTTTGTTATTTTTAAAGATCACTTGCACCACATTCACCCAAGGACGCTAAGATTGAGAAATTAAAGTCCAACATGCTGCATGTTTAAGGGTAAAAGTACAACTATGCAAAACTAAGGAGCTTCAGCTGCGTATTATATGTAAGTATGTATGATCTAAACAAGAATAAATTGATGTAATGAATTTGTATATTTCATTAGCAGATGTTAGTTGTTTCTTCGTTATTGACTTACACTGATCTAAACTGCTTGAATTGTTAGAAGTATGATAAACACGAGGTAATTCTGATCTCACGATTTCTTTTAACACATCCACCGTTTTTATTCTTCCGAACCTGAAATCAAAGACATTACAGAGTCTTCTACTTCGGCCGCTTTCCTCCAGTTTTACTTACACCCTGACCAAAAGGCACGACTTACTGCTACGCCGTCTGATAAGCGAGACGAGCTCGATGTTTTTATTGTGAACCATATTGCTCAGCTAACATGATAACGATTTCAATCAATATTATTACGCTTTTGTGATATAACGTAAATTAAAGTCAAGTTAATCAACATATTCAAAGGGACAAGTACATGTTAAAACACAAGGCAAGTCACGAGCTTCCTCCAAATAGCAGGTTTCATCGATATATATCGAATACTGGCGGACAAGTTTACAGGTTTTCGGCGACTGCTGCCGATAAAGACAATTTAAAACAAGTTCATGGTTATCACCACGATACCATCCGATTGGGAAATGTTTCCTGCGGTGTTTTGAATATTGATATTTGTATTATATTAATTCGAACTTTGTGGATTCGTTGTCACGCTGCTGGTTAACACTTTGAGATCGTTTTATTACTTGGATTTGACATATATTTCCATGGCGGATGTTGTCGATGAAGCTGAACACGGTTTTCCCGCACCTCAGACAGAGATATCCCACGTCATACCCCATGCTAGATTTTTTTATCTCCTCCGATCTGTCTTGTACCTTTACGTGACATGTCGCGGAAATTTTACACTGCGATTTATTCATCCGCGCGTTAACTGCTTGAAATTGACAATCTGCACTATACATGTTCTGTTTTGTCGTTATATGTTTAGTTTTTATGTTGTTAGATATTTGATGTTGTAGATAAAATACAATCTACACTGTGTTATAAGTTGTCATTTATCTAAGGAATATAGTTTGCTGTTTTCAAAATGAGCTTAAAACCCAAAATAATACCATTTCTGTTTTCGAAAACATGTATAAATTAGACAAGCATATGTAACAGAATGAAAAAGGACAGAAATTCAATCGTCACTTAAAGATTGTTTATATAAAACGAAGGATTAAGACAGGGGGTTGTTTTAGGTAATTTACAAATGAAAAGTGTTTTGGTTTCTCAATAATTTCCTTTCTAATTAATATTTTGACTTGAAATTTACAACTGTATTCATTTAAGTAAACTTACCTAAATTGCATATTGACTACATACTTTTCTTCTGTTATATATACTGAGTTATGGCTTTTGGACACATTTCAAACTTGTCTGTTACAATTATCTGTCAGTTTTAAGTGAAGTAAAAGGTGCAGAACACCCTGTATGTGCTGTAAGTATAAGATGTTTATAGTTAATATTGTATAATATATATGTCATATACTATTTGCTCAGCACCTGTGGCTGAAATGAGTCCCAGGTCCTGTGATGTATTCTTACTTAGCAAAGTTAACTTACATATAAAAATGACATTTGTCACCATAATTACAGTAAAATGATTGGTTTAATATGCTAAGTTTGATTTGCTGGTAATTTTAAGTCTCCTTGCCTCAAGGAAAGTATCTGCTTTAATCGTTAAAGTTAATCAATTTCATTGTTTTATCAAATGTTCTGCCAATTTCCAATGTTTACCCGCTGATTGTACATAAAAGGCATTTGGGGATAAGCATGTAACTTGGCATAGATATTAGTTTGTAAAAGTTTCAAACTTATCCCACAATGCCTTTTTACTTAAAAACTACCCTTTCTTGTGATTTGGAGTACAAGGACCAAAGCTCATCTCCTTGCCTAACACCAAATATTTCCTGACAATACTAGTCTATATGAGTGTATATAGATTAAACAGGCCCAGTAGAGTGTTTATAGTAGTAAAAGGGGCGATTGACATGCTAAACTGACCAAAGACCGGGGTCGTTATAGTTGACCTGTTGCGTGCTTGGCCGATACCAGATGGCCACTTTATATAACGTATACAGTTTTACCTTATACACAAACCATATTGGGATTGAATCTGGATTTTTCCATTGTTAATGCAAGTATGAACGGGGAAAAATTTGCTTACACACCACATGTGCGGCCGTAAATTTGTACCCGTTCATACTTGCACGAACGCTGGAAAAATCCAGATTCAATCCCTTTAATTCCAAATCACTACCAATGGGAAGGAAAACCAAAAACATCATTTAAATTACGAACTATTTTTATTCATTCATAAATTTAGTGTAGTAATATGACATAGCATCGCAACGTCATTTCGGAGATCTCGAAACTAATTCACTTGAACATTTTCCCACGGCCGCTTCATCCGGCTTGAGTGACATTGTTGATAAAATACTGAGTAAACAGTTGTTTAATTTGCGAATGAGCTATAATTTAACTTAGGCGATTCTACATAGAGAAAGTTATCAGCAGTGCACGTAGAAGTCCAGGGATGATGATTCTTGAGCACGCCTCGGAAAGGCCAGGGTTGACACCCGGTTAGAGAAAAGTGCTGTGTATTATGACGGAAAGTGCAGTACCTAAACTCGTCACGTTTTTTGTGTCATGGATAACAAATATGAAAGAACTTTTCACTGGTGGACCCTTACCGTTTATTTTTTTTCATTTTTTCGTTTATTCTTGCTTCAAAATAAACGCACCATTTGTAATTAAAAGATGTACAACAAATGAAACAAAATTTAAAACAAAGATGTGCAACAATGACATTTTTACACAATAGTACATAAAGGTGGATACAAATTAGGGGAGGAGGAGGGTAGCTGATTTTTAAGGAGATTTTTCAAAATCTCAGCATGGAAAAATATTCTGCACAGGTCACGTGACTTTAGTACACCAAAAAATCACGTGACTACTTCTATAGGGATGGACTAGTTTCAAAAACGGAAAGTTATCCTCCATCCGGAACCCTCAAAATATAACAAATAAAAATATCATATACTAACCAGATAATATAAATTACTTTATGCATTGCATAAATACAATTATATTATCGTNAAATATTACCATATTTCTGTTCAAGTGCCCCACTCCAGAGAAACCTGTGTATGTTATAATATACCAATATCGCACCATGCAAAATATTGTTTCACTATTTACAAAAGCATATAAGATATATCAAACAATCAGAAAAAGACATGGCACCATATGCTTATTAGCATTTCTGACAGTTACTGGCAGCTGTCACAGACAGAAACTTGCCTTGTTATGATTCCAACGTTAACCAAGCTATCAGAAAAAACACTTCTCCATGTTGTTTAAGTCTGCTACCAGCAGACACCTTTATCTGATAAGTGTTATACATGTATCATACTGCTTCATGCTGCCTCAGACAGTCAAGTCACAATATAATATATAGGTATAACCATGTCACACTCTATATGTTAAACAAAAATTACATGGATGTATGTATATGTATATATAAATAACATGTCTTTTAAATGCCAACATAAGTATAGGAAAAATGAAGGAAAAATAATAATATCTGTAACAATTTTACTCATTACCAGATAAACTTGTTTCGTGCTGCCTCAGACAGTCATTCATAAAGTTTTCCAGGCCAATTGTCACCCTTGAACTTTGGGAATACTGAGCAATGTTACATATTTTACCTTCGGAAAGGTACAACAAATTAGGATCAACTTTGTCCATCACATATAATGCTGTGCATGACATTAACACAATGAAATGCTTTATACCGCCTCAGACAGTTAATCCACAATTTCATTCTTAAATGTACATTTAAATTGAATACAATGTGTTGCAACAATGTTCCGTGCCGCCTCAGACAGTCACTTCCAATGATGCTATAAACAGTTATTAGTGTTCATAATTTTGAGCATTGGGTAATGGCTATCCAGACCCTTAACATGTCAACCTTGTCCAACCTGACACCACCTAATTACAGTATGCTGTCTCAGACAGTCGAACAAGCATGATTTCAAAACATAAATTTTGCTTTCAAATATGTAGCAACTGGTATGGGACCCAGGTAGGTAACTTTTCCATGTCTTTGGCTAGTGCCCTGAACCGTGATAGCAAATCAGGTAAAACGTTTAGCCTACCAGGATTGTGTTCAGCTTTGAACATAACGTTGTGTAGCATACACACCAGATCAATCTCCTAACCAGGAACATAATGGAATGATACTTTGAAGACATTTTCTTGATTATATGAACAACAGCCTTGTTATTCGAATGAAACAACATGCATTTGTTTGATAACTTTTCCCCCCACATCTCCATGGCCAAGATTATTGGAAACAACTCTTTAAGAGTTATACTATGTTGTTCTAATTACCCACACTCAAACCATTTTCCATAAAACCAGTATATTCCGAATATATACTGCCCCATAGTCTAACGATACAGATGGATCTGTATACATTTGGAGTTTGGCAGAATCCTACCAGGTCTCATCTAAGAATATGGATTTTCTTGTACATATGCATGCAATCCATTGGAGAGCTGTACTGACTTTTTCAAAAATAGAACAGGAAATTGAGCAACCCATGGACAAACATTTATCAAAAAGGCATAATCCCTAAAAATATATTCCTAGCAGCTTATGCTCCATGGGATGTATAGGAACGATCCTAAATGCTGAAGCTAGCTATATCTGTTTTAGCTAGCAAACAACCTTGACCTATTTTTTTTTCATTTTTTATTTTTTGGTAATAAACCAATTGGGGAACATTGCATGAACTAAAAAGGTGGGTTATGGAAAGGACCCACTATCCTCCACGATGAAATTTCCTTGTTCAATTTTTGTGATACCAGTTCCTCATTCTGAAAAGCAGAAACTAAATTACTCTCTGAAAACCCAGCTACCAACACTTCTGAAAGCTCTTTATCATATAACCTTTTAGAAATAGCTTTAGAATGTCTACCTGCACAGGTGTAACAAGTGTGGTGGGGACACTAGTTTTGTTTTGATGCCTGCTGGTTTTTGGTTTGATGTTTGTGGTAGGGTTTAACGTTGTTTTTCCTTAATGTGCTGCCTGGTGAGCAGCTGAGTACTGAATGGGACTGGCCACACTGAAAACATGTGTGTTGGAATGGACAGGATTGTACTGTACATTTCCCTCTAATGTGCAACACGAAGCAATGACCGATGGCTATTTGTCTATGCTTTGCTCTGAACCCCCCGGGTAGGTCCCGAAAGGACCGATCATTCTGGTGATGGCTATATGCTGCTTTGGAGTGTTTGCCATTACCCAATTCTCAGTATGGAAAAAACCCCAAGGTATGGACCTGACCTCCACATTCCTTCTAACTTACTGGACATAATCCAGTCATGTTGTACCTGTTCTCCTAGCCGCCATGTCGCGAACTACTTCCCCATGCTTTAACACCAGTGGGATTTCTTTAGGATCTTTTTTTTTTTTTTTTTTTTCCTGAATAAATGGCGACAAATCTTATGAAAGCAGTTTTCCATTGCTCAATTGTATTAAGTGCTGGCCTTTGTTTGGTCCTGGTGACCCGAAATTGTGACCGGTTAGCACTCTGGAGCTGAATTTGAAATGCAGTGTTTCCATTGCGTAACTTTTGGCTTGGCAACAATTTTGCAAAATCAACATATATGTTTTGCCATATTTTGTTTTTTTATTTTTGTATCTACTTGACTAGCGATTGGACATGACAATAGACCAGGAGAACAGGGATTTGGCTCATTATCAGAATCCCTTTCAGAGTCAGAGTCAATGTAACTACTGCTGCTGCTGGAATCTGTGCTATCATCCTCATCTGAACTTGATCATGAGGATGTAGGTGAATGGGGAAACCCTTCACCTCCTTTTCCTTTTGTTACCAGTCTATTTCTTTCTTGTCACTTTGTTGGGTGAAGGCATAGTTGTCTGACTCAACTTCTTTGGGAGCGTTGTCTTCACCATCTGTAAATATTGTACAATAATCCCTGTATATGTATGATCAGTTAACTGATAAACCAAAGTATGCAACACCGTTGCACTGTAACACCGTTACAATCAAATACAAATGATACCACCATTATACAACACCGTTGCAATGTAACACTGCTACAATCAAATATAAATGATACCACCATAATGCAACACCGTTACAATCACCTATAAATGATACCACCATAATGCAACACCGTTACACTCTCCTATAAATGATACCACCATAATGCAACACTGGCATATTCACATATAAATGATACCATCATAATGCAACACCGTTGCACTGTAACACCATTACAATCAAATATAAATTATACCCCCATAATGCACTGTAACACTGTTACAACCAAATATAAATGATACCACCATAATGCAACACCGTTACACTCTCCTATAAATGATACCACCATAATGCAACACCGTTGCACTGTAACACCGTTACAATCAAATATAAATGATACCACCATCATGCAACACCGTTGCACTGTAACACCGTTACAATCAAATACAAATGATACCACCAATATACAACACCGTTGCAATGTAACACTGCTAAAATCAAATATAAATGATACCACCATAATGCAACACTGGCATATTCACATATAAATGATACCATCATAATGCAACACCGTTACAATCACCTATAAATGATACCACCATAATGCAACATCGTTACATTCACCTATAAATGATACCACCAGAATGCAACACTGTTGCACTGTAACACTGTTACATTCACATATACAAAATGTAAATTATACCACCATAATGCAACACTGTTGCACTGTCACACCGTTACAATCAAATATAAACGATACCACCATAATGCACTGTAAGACTGTTACAATCAAATATAAATGATACCACCATAATGCAACACCGTTGCACTGTAACACCGTTACAATCAAATATAAATGATACCACCATAATGCAGCACCGTTACATCTTGTGCATAAAGAAGAGATCTTTCGATCCATGTGCGACATGTGTGTGAAAGTGACGATTTGTTTCTAAAATATCAGTTTGAAGTGCGCTCCGGGCACGGGTCGCATATTTCCCTCATATTATAGAGGGCCGGAGTTCTGACGTTAATCAACGACAGACCGATATGAAAAAAGTCGATAAAACGTCAGAATAATTCGGACTAATCACACCTGTACTAGATGATGAGGGCCTGAATTTATACTTGTAATAGGGGGAGGTCCGGAGAGGGTTTGCATCCGTTGTCACTCCGTTAAATCCGTTTCGTGATCGTATAGTTTTTGGTTATGGTAACGAGTCGACAACTTCCCCTGCAGTCCTCTCTAGACCTCGCCTCTTTCGTCAGGTTACAGACCTGTTTTCACTACAGGTTCGAACACTGGATGTAGTGGTAATACAAGCAATTGATTCAATAACTCAACAAGGTGTTTCAATATACAGGTAACTGTGTATTAACAAGACGGAATGAATATGTATAACAAGTTTAACAAATACAAAGCATAGCATTAGTGCCAAATAATGACAGCTAATGTTAAGAAACTCAATCCCTTACGTATACAGAGTAATGGCCTATCCTACCTAACAGTATACTACCAGTATACTACGACCACGTGCTCCTAGCTCCCTATATATCTACAGCGAACCACTGTTAACAGCGCATGAGGCGAGAAGGTTCTCCTCATCAGGAGAAGCGGGTCGGCTCACCGACCCTGTCAAGACACTGATCCTAGCCCGGACCCGCTGTTTTATACCCCCTGCTCCTCCCACCAAATAGCCTCGAAGATGAGTGGCCAACTGTTAATCTCGAACCCAGCCTCACCATCTAAAAGCATGCGAGTGAGGAGCGTGAACCTATTCCTGTTATTACTATCACCCACTTCCGGTGTCTCAAAAGTGTAAACACACAGATTTCAGCACCGGTATCGTAGCAGCTGATCAAGTCAAGTCCGATATGATTACAAAGATAAACACAAGCTCGTTAAGTGAACATTTACAATCGACATAACAAATAAAAGATACATAAAACAGGGTTTCATTAATTAAACAAGATATGTTCATGCTGTAAAAGATACAAATAGAGAGGAAGCATCCAATAAAAACATTTAATTTTAAATAAATAAGAATAATAAAAATATTAATGCGGTAAAAGTGGCAGGTTACATTTATCAAATTGAATTTATTCATTACTTTATCACATTAGCTTATAGTTTGTTTTGAGATGAAGGAAAGATATAATAGAACTTGAGAAAAGATAGTACGGTGGTACATGGTCAGCTCCGGGTTGGGGAGCCCCCTACCAGCATGGTATGCTCGACCTGCACCCCAGTAACTCAGGATTAGTTATTCTTAATTTTATTATAAAAGGTCATGTATTCAACATAATTACAGATACATTTAGAAACGAATCACAGGCTGATAATATATCATTTTTTTTTTTTAATTTTTAAATAAAAAAAAAACTTAAAATTTTAAGATACATAAAGCATACTTTAGTACACAAGCTACATAATAAAGCACAAAAGCAGGAGCAGCAGCTAGCTTCATACTATAATCACATATGTACATTCTTAAAAGGTTCAATGGCTATTTTCCTTAGTCTCTCCACATGTAGCATGCTTGTCTGAGACTTTCTTAAAAGGACCTCATAACTTGAGTCAAAATCCTGGTAAATAAATTTCAGGGCCCTATAGTTACTTTTTCAATGTTGTCAGCGCAACCTTTATTACAGAAATGCCACACTAAGGGACAGAAGTTAAAAATTGAAAGTATAAAAGAGTTATAAATTGCCTTCCGTCCTTTAAAAGTGAGATGTTGCCCGATGCGTTTTAATACATTTATCTGTCCTGATGCCTTCATGCAGATATTTGTTATATGTTGAGAAAAATTTAGGAGGTAGTCAATTTCGACTCCAAGTAGTTTTACTGATTCCTCACACGGAATACAAGTGTCGCAAATGTAAAAAAAAAAATGGGTTTTTGTTCAAAAGTTTGTTTGCCAATAGCTAGGGCCTTAAATTTTTTTGGGTTTGCTTGCATCTGATTTACATCAAACCAATTTTTTAAATTTAAACTTTCCCTTTCTAAAACTTCTATCATTTTCTGGTAACAAGAATCTGCATATGATAAAGTATTGTCGTCTGCATAATTTAGTAATGTTGCATCATTAATGGTGTAAAAAATGTCATTTATGAACACATTAAAAAGTAGGGGCCCCAGGATAGAACCTTGGGGTACACCCTTTACAGTGTATTCATATGTACTAGAACAGTTACCTGTTCTCACACACTGCTTTCTGTGTGATAGATCGCTGTTTATCAGTTGTAAGGCGTGTTCATAGAGACCATACGCTCTCAGCTTCTCGAGGATGATACAGTGCGGCAGGCAGTCGAATGCCTTGGATAGGTCCATAAGTATGGCTCCAAGTCATTTCTATCCAAGGCACGCCGCCATTCCTCTGTTATAAATAATGAAGCTGATTGACAACTGTACCCCCTCGAAAAGCAGAGAGACCTGGATGGAAAACTGTCTGGAAGAAACCATTCAACTGTTCTGATATGGCTCTCTCAAACAGTTTTGACATGGCAGGTAAAATACTTACTGGTCTATAGTTTCCCATGCAGAGGGAATCCTTTTTCTAATAGACTGACCAATTTTAATTGATCATGGAAGGATCCCTCTGCAAGAGACCTATTGATCAGAGAAGTAAGTGGTTGGATTTAAAACTTCACCTTTAGTAAGGTGCAATATCTTTGGTGAAATGTTGTCTACTCCAGTCGCCTTCTTGGGATCAATCATCTTCAAGTACCTTGCAACATCGGTTTCTTTAACTGGTCCGAAACAGAGAGGATCTGTGGGTTTTAGTGAATTTTGGTTTATTGCAATAAACCTTGGATGACTGGGCCCAGGAGGGGGAGCATTTCTTCCAATGTCATTTGCAATGTTTACAAAATAATTGTTAAAGATAGTACACACTTCATTTGTACATGTTACTAGTATATGTGTGGTTTTCTTGTAGCTGAACATTTCCCTGTATAATGTGGCCTTTATTTGTCAGGAAGGGTCTGATGGTGGGCCAGAAATCCTTCGATCCCGACCTCCCTCACGTCTTTCCATGAAATACCGCCTAATTGATTTTCTTTTGATTTTGGTGACCTTATTTCTTTGCTTTCTGAAAAGATGCCAGTTTGTATCAGTTAAGCACTTGTTAAATTTTCTCCACATTGCTTTTTTGTGGTTTATGGCTTTCCGAAGTTCCGAATTCATGAATGGGGCTTTTGTCAATCTTTGCCGCTTTTGTTTAAAAACAAAAGCGAGCCAGGAGTCCTACACTGAACGAAAAGCCCTACCCTAAATAAGGATGAAAAACACAGAAAGTAACAGAGCCCTGTCTCTAAATCATGAACAATTATACTTAACAAAATTATACAAATGTGAGAAGTACAATGTAAACAACCTACTTTCCAACATACTCAAGAAGAGGATTTTCTCCCATTTCTGAGGGGCTCGCTTTTTGTTAAGCTTCATAACAATTAAATAGTTTCTCTGTAAATAGACCAAACTGTCACGAGATCCTTCCTTATCAGATAATGATTAATTTGTTTTCTAGAAAAACACTGACCAGTGAGATTTCGGAATTGGTGGATACAGAATAGACCGGGCTCGTATTAGTACCACCTTGAGAGCTATTAGTAACTTCCGGTTTGTTTCATTAGGCTACTGCAACTGTCGGACTGTTTTAACGGTGGGTATGCTTCAATGCCTTCATCCCAAATATAGGTAAACCAGTATGGCACCTGGGGCCTGCAGAATAAACGTTTAACAGAATGACACTTTTTTTGGAGAAATCGACCCAAAAACCTATGATGAAGCAGCCAAAAAAGCCGAATAGGCGTTATATACAGAATGTAGTTATATATATCCGTCCGCATCTGCATCGATGTACATTTACATTGCAGCAACGATTATCATCACATATTATACGATGTTGTTTTAACGTCTGCAGCATTCCCTATATATGTAAATGACTGTAATGATAGCAAAAACATAGTTAATGTATTTCAAACAGCGTCATGTCGGTGTGTTATACGTTGTAATGGCCAAATGCAGCTGAAATGGGAAGCATTTTCTTACATTTTTCTCGATAAGTGTGATTACACCGATACTTCAGCAATGCATGTACAGGTAAGTGTATCATGAATTATACTATTGTATTATTCAATGCAAGTTTTCGCCACTGAAATTCTGCATTCAAAAATACTTTTCAGACAAAATCGAAAATATTTTCGGCAAATAATTTCTGCAAAGTTCATTATTGAGTATTGACATTGTTGTCATGTGTTATACACGTCTCTGGGTATACCAAGCAACTCTTTTATATTTTATTTCATTTTGAGGAAAAGTTTGAGGAGCCCTTCCCACACCATATACACTGACATGACGCTGTATGAAATACCTTAAATAAGATGATATTGCAAAGGGGAGATAAACAGATAGAGTACCATCCTTGTGTGGCAGGGTTCAATTGTACATAGGATTAAAGTGGCCTTCTAGCTTTGAGCTAGAGGGAATTTTCCTTTAGCTCAGTAGTAGAGCATCCGACTAGGAACCTGGAGATCGAGGGTTCAATCCCCAGGGGAATCACACTATTCTCTTTCCTGTTACAAATGGTGTCTGTGGAACTCTCTGTAGTGACAGGGAGTTAGAACCTGGGTTGTGGTGTTCGAGGGCGAACACATTTAAAAAGCCGTGAGTAGTGTGGCAGGGTTCAATTGTACATAGGATTAAGGTCGCCTTCTAGCTTCGAGCTAGGGGGAATTTCCCTTTAGCTCAGTGGTAGAGCGGCCAACTAGGAACCTGGAGATCGAAGGTTTGATCCCCGGTGGTAGCACACTATTCTCTTTCCTGTTACACTTATATAGAAGGACTGTCCCTTTTGAGGAAATATCTTTATAAGGTAACATTTCAGACTAATTGGATTCTAGCCATGTTCCTGTATTAAGGTTAATTAAACAAGTGCATACGGTCATTATGAACAATGCTAAATATGTTTTTGTGTTAGTTTTTATAGAAACATTAATTCCACAATGCCATTAAATCTGGTACTTGATTTTCTTTACTCAGCCCAAGTTTCCTCTAGCCCTGACATCAGACGTAGACATTTTGATAGATAGCTAGATGTCTGACATCTTTTATCTGTCAAAATGTCGAAGTCTGGTGTCACGGCCAGACGAAACTCGGGCTATTCTGTAGTCTGGTATTAAACGCAATGCATCGCACACTTGCTCCATTCTATCAGTGCAATACAGCATTAAGGGACATAACTCTTGTAACATAAACAGACTATATGTTTCTGCTTCTCACTTGCCTCACATACTAATAAACATATGGACAACACACCTCGAATATACTGAAACCCTCCCCTTGATTTCATTTTGCATAACTAGCATAGTTGGGCGTAATCGGCTAGATAGCGATAGCATAACAATCTACAGACCAATGTTTGATCCTGGACTCGCTTAGCTGATTTTGAACACTCACAAATCTATTGTTAATTGCAATTATATTTCATTTATTTCATCTTTATTTTGTTTTCATTAAAGTCCTGCAAAGTATGGTTGTCTTTTCAGAAGAGAATTTTCAAAGCTTTAGCTTGTGATGCTTCGTTAAATTTTTGGCAGTCGTAACGAAATCTATAGAATAAATCTATACTTGTATGAGAAGATAAATATGTAAATAAATATATATATTACGCATTGAGATGAATCTTCTTTTCATTTAAGGTTGTACATCTGTGAGAATGCCTCAACACCATTCCAAAATTCTGACTTTATCACAGTCGGCAGCATTTGTATAAAGTTTTCCAGGCTTTGTAATGGTTCCTCACTAACTCCTGTAGCATAGCTGTAGACATAGCACCAGGATGGGTGTGAGGGGTCTGTTGTCCGCCTGTATGCGTCAGAGAAATGCCTGTGTACACGAAGTTGACCTCATACAGGTGGCTCGAGAACGAGGTGGCATAGAAATACTGGTGGACTATTACTCCTTTGAGTTGTTTGTTATGGAACAGTTCTGGTTTTCATTATGTCACCACCAACACAACGATTACCTGTGGATACTGGGGGGTGAGTACGCCTCACTGGATGTCTATCTGAAGAAACTGATCCAGCACCTCAAGGCTTTAGGTATCCAGTTAGTGTTCTTTGTTGACGGTGCGAGGGGAGCATCAACAGAGACCACTCGTGAGAAACTGGACACTTGGATTGAAAGGCACCATCGTGAATTGGGAAAGATTAGAGACATTATGAGTGTGTGCTGTGGATTCATGCCCATTACAGAACTACAGGAAAATGTGAGGGCAACATTACAGGAAGAGCAGTTTAAACATACCCTTAGGCAGTGTGATTGTGAGGTTTATCAGGATCCGGCAGGGGAAGCTGACTGTGTCATAGCTCAGGCACTGCACCAGCGTGAGAAAGCGTACGCAGTATTCAGTAACGATTCCGACTTTTGTATATTCAGAGACTGTACCTTCATCCCTAGGACACAGTTTGACCTGATGGGTGACCTCCAATTGGGAGCAGTATGTGACATGCCCATCAAACCAGAACGCCTCATGGTCGGGGTTATCACAACTGACAGGGTCATGGCCATTCTGGGAGTAAGTGTCCATGTGAAAAGCTAAAATTAAAAAGAAATTACACCTGTTTCCTATTTGCTAACCTCCCCTGCCCAGTGTTGAGTACCCATTCCCATTGATAATACAGTGACTTCCACAATGAAGTATATTTAAATAAGTTTTTGATCTTGCATTGGTATCAATTTTTCTAACTTTTTAGATCTTTTTGAATGATAATTTCTTCGTATAATTTAAGTTTGCAAGAAGATGTCTGCCCCAGATTAATTTTTGGGACATTTTGAACAAAATGTCTTGAGGTTTAATCGTGTACGAGTTGTCTTTTTACAGCATTTTCTGCATAAATTTTGTGCATAAGTTATATATATTATATAAGTTATATAAGTTATATACGTTTTTATGGTAGTGCAGATGAATATTGACATCATTACTTTATCTTGATATTGTGGTCACTCTCTATTTTTTGAGATGACATGTGTCTTCATCAACATTGATATATATATTTGTAGCTGCCCAGACATGACTTGTTGGTGGAGCTGAGTATAGTTGGTGGTAATGATTTTACTGGTCAATACATACACAAAGGTGGGCTACAACAAAAGCTAGAGATCAAAGGTCGCGGTATAGAAGGTGTGGCTGACTGGATCAGAGATCACACGGTACCAGAGACCCACCCAGTCTTTGCTCAGGAAATGGTAGGTGTAGTAGATGGTCAGAGATTTTTGTAGGATTTTTCAGGCGAGTTCTGAAGATCTTTTCCAACATTTTGACGACTCTCATTACTAAGACATAAAGTGAGGTTTCAAATGTGAGTAATTCCCATAGGAACAAATTTCTCCAGTACTGAAATATCTGTCCTAAAAGTCACAGAATGGTGTAATGGGTGATTTAAACCTAGTCTCTATTTTTACAGCTGTTTTGTCCTGCAATTAGTTTTTGTGTCCTCACTTTTATGATCCCCTGCAGGTGGGGGATTGGGAAAAGAATACACCTGCTGTTACCCACTGCATGTGTATCGTAGGAGTCAACTAGAATTAAGTTGTTAGGGAGATCCCACATCCCACCCCAATGGGAGTGAATTACTCTTTTCTCTCACCTCACATTAATATTTATTTTATGCCATTTCTTTAAACATATATTTAATTGACCTTTTACTAGCCCTAATGACTTAAGACCTTATGTACTGATTGTAAAAAGGTTATATTCATAAACATACTTGTTATCAAGTGTAGATTTACTATCAGCTTTCCCTACCTACAGGATGATTGGCCCTTTTTCTGCCACCTGTTAACTCGGATATTGATAAAAAATATTACAGACAGGTACAACAATAGATAATGTATAAATTATAACATACAGTTCAGAAAGATCAGAGTGAAGAATTGTTAACCACAGATATAGATACTAGATAGTATAATATAGGTTGGTGGTCTGTTCGGATCATACCCGTAAAATCAGTAAATGTTGAATCCAGCATATCTTTGTGATACTCATATGTTAAGAAGAGCAATCAGTAGGTGTCCATTTTAAACTCATGATCACAACACATACACAACACACATGTGAATATTATAAATATTTTGACCACTGAGACTGGCTTAGTATTAGATTCAAAATATAGTCATCTACGTATACGACATGTACATGTGTGCTTCCTCCTCAGAGACACAATATGGGATTTCGCGGAGCAGTAGTCCACAGTCGTAACTTCTACAACCTAGGAGTACCGCCACTGAAGCCAAGTAAGACGGGACACCTATCACAGATTCTGGAGAAGGGTATCCGAGAAGGTCACTTTGTTGCTAGGGTGATGGGCATGCACAACAACTTTTACTGGCATCGTGCGGTTGTAGAGGACTTGAGTGAAGGTCAGCCATGTGCGGAGGTTGCCTTGGCCCCACTCAGGGCTCATGTGTACAGAATTGTTCTTCAGCGACATGAGAGCATGGTGGAGGAGTATGGCCGAAGTCCTTGGGAACCCATGAGGACAGCAGGAGTAAGTTTCTAGCTTGATGTTCTGACTCCAATTTTCTCAGGATTTATGAATGTTTTGCCAGTTGAATTTATATTTGCTTTCGTTTTCTCGACATTTGTAGCTATGAGTTCAAATTTAATTTATATTCCAAACTTTCTATTGTAAAAACTGAGTTTATTTTGTTTATGAGCTTTAAGTAAAATTGAAGAGATTTTTTAGCTCGCCTATTCAGAGAATATGGGGGCTAATGTAGTCACCCCAGTGTCGTCATCGGCTTCGGTGTCCCACCTTCTTAGGTTTAATTTTTAGGCAAGTTTTTTCAAGACAGTGTTGGATCATGACACTATACACAGTTGTCTATTATGAGGTTAAGGCATTTATATCGGGTGTAAGCAATGTGCTGAACCATTTTTTCATATTTTAGTGCCATAAACAGCTTAATTGGACTTGGTTAAAGTTTTTGAGGCTTTAGGTTAAAGTTTTTGGGCATTTTTGTTTGTGTAGTGATAGATCACCACCATCAATAGGCTGTTGCCTATTATAAGGTTGGAGTATTTATATGGAGTGTTAGCATTGTTCTGAATTATATTTTCATTATTTTAGGGGCCAAAACTAGGTAGTTGGACGTTGTTAAAGTTTTTGCCCAAGTGTTTTTGTGTAGTGTTGGATTGGTCACCATAATCAATACGCTGTAGACTATTTCATGTTGGCTGGTCATCTCTTCTTACATGTTAAGGTACAGCAAAACCTTGTTATATTGCCATCATTTGTTCAAAGACATGTTGGGATTATAAAGGGGTTTGGCAATAAATTGAGGGAAAGGTATAAAGAATTCTGAAGAAAAACATAATTAAGGGACCTGAAAATATATTGGTGGTAAGTGACATGGCAAATGAAATGACAGCCATGGGCATTATATCAAGGTTTTACTGTACATTTGTTTCTATTGGTATTTGCTATATAACAGCATTTATCACCAAAAGGTGAGCTATGCTTTTCTCTAACAGCTGTGTATCTATCACAAACAGTTGTTTTTGTTGTGTAAGAGTCCAGAAAATTTAGAACTGCTTCTGTCACAGAGGTGACATTAAAAGTTCATGTGAAGTAAGTGAAACTAATATTTTAGAGTCCTCAAAACAAAAAAAATGTAGAGCCAACATCTTATGGTTGTATAGATGGGTTGATCAGTGGGGCGCTTCACTACGAGAGTGGATACCAGAAGGTATGCAGGGCGATTGGTATCAAGGACCTGATGAAGACTTGTTTTAAGAGTCGAAACTAGTCGGCCAATAAAACCCCACTAAGTGGTGACGCCTGAGCTGTGTTGTGATTGGAACCCTGCCTATTATTGCTACATCTCTTAATTTGACATTCTACCTGTAGGTTCTGGCAGTAGAAGATAGCAACATTCCTTCAATACACCGCATACAACCTGACAAGATATTCTGGAACCTCAAACATTTCCACTACATAATGTCCCACATGGAGCGAAGTAAGAGCAGTGAGAAATATTTAATTCTGTGTTGATTAGAGTAAGGTACAAAGTAAAAGCAGTGTGAAATATTTAATTCTGTGTTGACTAGAGTAAGGTACAAAGTAAGGGCAGTGTGAAATATTTAATTCTGTGTTGACTAGAGTAAGGTTCAAAGTAAGGGCAGTGTGAAATATTTAATTCTGTGTTGACTATAGTAAGGTACAAAGTAAGGGCAGTATGAAATATTTAATTCGCCTTCTAGCTTCGAGCTAGGGGGAATTTGGGCTCTCTTCTTACATGTTTTCTGTATTGACTAGAGTAAGGTACAAAGTAAGAGCAGTGTGAAATATTTAATTCTGGGTTGACTATAGTAAGGTACAAAGTAAGGGCAGTCTGAAATATTTAATTCTGTGTTGACTAGAGTAAGGTTCAAAGTAAGAGCAATGTGAAATAATTAATTCTGTGTTGACTTGAGTAAGGTACACAGTAAGAGCAATGTGAAATAGTTAATTCTGTGTTGACTAGAGTAAGGTACAAAGTAAGAGCAGTGTGAAATAGTTAATTCTGTGTTGTTAGAGTAAGGTGCTATGTGTTATGATGTTGATATACCACATGTATCTATAAATGCAAACAATTGGATTGAAGTCCATGTGTCAGGAAAATGAAACAAAACTTTAACAATTACAGAAAGACTTATTTGATATATCACATGTAGATATAACATACAAGAATTGGATTGAAGTCACTATGACAGGAAAATGATACAAAACTTTAAAAATCACAAAAAGACTGATTATTGAGGCCTTTTACTGCTATATACAGCTCTTCAGATTCTCCTGAGCAGCTTTATAGCAGTGAAAGGCCTTAAGAAGCAGTATTGTTGTGATTAGAAAAACAACTTATTTATAAATTTATATTTTTAATTGCTTTGAACGTTTTATAAAATATCTTGAACTTTAGAGCTCTACATTAGAAGGTATATAAAACAATTATGATGATTTAGAAATCAATTTAAGGAGCACCAGGTCAGGGTCTGGCTTGTTATCTGACACATGAACTTTCGGTTTTTAGCCTAGGATACATAGAGGCTGATAGCTCTGATAACAATGCCTTCAGGAGAAGTACATTTGTCTTCTAAAGATTATTTTATCAGCATTGAGTTGAAAATTTTATTCTACAGCCACACCTTCGCAAATAATAAACTTCAATTACTTAAAACATATTTAAGATCCTTTTACCTTCAAATGATCTATCAACTAAATGTTCATAGAAATGTAAATAGAGAAGAAAGAAAATTCTCATTTATTGTAATAAAAATAATATAAAAAACGAATACACAAAATTTATTTGTGTTAATCGAAACATAGGAACATTATAATTAAGGCATTTTTAAACCTTAAAGCAAAATGAAAAAAGTTAAGATGTATGTAGGAGGTGATGGCTTCTATACTTACAATATCAAAGGTATATTAGAGGACAATTTCATTTGCATAGGTGTAGGAAATGCGAGAAGAAATGTTTCTTTTTATGTATGAGTGTACAAATAAATAGAAATACATTTTTAGCTCACCTGGCCCGAAGGGCCAAGTGAGCTTATGCCATACATAGCGCAGCGCCTGTCGTCTGTCGTCCGTCAACTTTTTCCTTAAAAACGCTACTAGTCCTTAACAGTTCAAGAGGATTTTAATCAAATTTGGTCTGGAGCATCATTGGCCAAAGGGTTCTCAGTTTTGTATAAAGGAGGGTATGGTCCCCCTGGGGGCAGGGGGGCGTGGCCAAATAGGGGGAAAATAGGTAAATCTTTAAAAATCTTCTTCTCAAGCAATAGAAGGACTTTGACAAAGGACTATGTATGGTTTGGGCCGTTTTTGGCCCCCAAATCCATCAAAATTATAAATCTGCAACAGAACTTCAAACGACTGTTTCTTTAATTTTGAATACTTCTTCAGTACAATTATGTAAACATTTATTTGTGTTTTCAATTAATGCTGCCATGATAAGCAGGTCATATTTGCATAAATTATTGAAATTTGATTATTCAGTCAATTTTGACAGGTTTTCACCTAGTTTTTCTTTTAGCTACCATAGAGCGCACTCTTGAACAAACTTTATATTTCTCCTAAAGATGTATTACAGGCGCCTACACATTATCCTTTGATATTAAGTTTGTTCAAGCATGCACTCTATAGTTTCTAGGAGTAAAACTATGCAAAATATCACAATATTCACTGAATATTCAAATTTGTCTTATTTATGCAAATTTGAACTTGTTACCATGGCAACAATAAATAGAAATATACATAAATATTTTCATAATAGTATTTGGGAAGTATTCGAAATTAAAGAAACAGTAATTTCAAAGTTCATTTAACAGTTTTGAATTTTGATGCATTTGGGGGCTAAAACAGGCCCAAACCATACATAGTCCTTTGTTCTAGAGTATCTTTGGACGAAGGATTCTTAAGTTTGTATAAACGGAAGGTGTGGCCTCTCTGGGGGCGGGGCCCAATAGGGGAAATAGAGGAATACATTAAAGATCCTTCTCCTTTTGTACCGATAAAAGGATTTTGACTAAATCTGGAGCATCATTGGCCAATGGATTCTCATTTTTTTTATAAACAGTGGGTATGGCCCCCCTGGGGGCAGCGGAGCGGGGCCAAATGGGGGAAAATAGGTAAATCTTTAAAAACAATCTTTTTCTCAACCAATTTAGGGTTTTTGACCAAATTTGTTCTATATCATCTTTGGACAAAGGAGCCTCAAGTTTGTATAAAGTGAAGTGATATACACCAAATGCAGTCTGAAGCTGCTTAGGGACAAAAGAATCAATTTTGTATAAACTGAGGTGTGTGGACCTCCTTCTTTGGGGCAGATGGGTGGGGCCAATTAGGGGAAGTAGAGGAAAACATTAAAGACCCTTCTCCTTCTGTACTGTTGAAGGGATTTTAACCAAAAGTTGTTCTAGAGAATCTTTCGGCAAAGGGAATTTAATATTTATAAATGGAAGATGTGCAACCCCCCCCNCCCCCCCAGGGGCAGAGGAGCTTAGGGGAAAACATTTTTTTTGTTAAATTTGTATAAAAAGGTGTATGTGAGGCCCAATAGGAGAAATACCCGGTAGAGGAAAATTGGGACATAACATGGAAACTCATTTTCTTGTTGTCTTTCCTACCAAAACAGATTTATATGTAGTTCTTCCTGCAACTTTGTTTCTTATACTCCTTTGATAAACCTGAATGGTACTCAGCAGGTTTTAAATTGAAAAATAAAATACCAGGTGAGCTATTAAGGCCCCTGGGCCTCTTGTTTAATGACAATGATTATTTCCTTTTTCCTTTCTTCCAGTTTTAATATGTATAGTAAATGCATACTTGTCATAAATTATAAAGCTTTAAGTAAATAACAAAACAAATAAGTTAAATATATATAGACCTGATCTGATCAACAGCTTCTGTTTTTTTGCCAGGGACCGGGTCAGAGAGTAAATGGTTTGAACGTTACGGGAGGAAAACAGGCTTTTCAGTTTACCTTCTCCGCTACTTCCTGCTCCTCAACTGGGGCCGCAACCTGTTTGTGACAGAGAATGAGTTTCTTGCCTTGCTTGCCATGTCTCTGGGGCGGCCATCTGCTGCTAAGTATCAGGGGATATGTGTCCGTCCGACCCCTCGCTGTGTGACTCTGGGCAGTTGGTACCAGGTATGTTGACTCATAGGAGAAAAGTATTGTATGGTGTATATAACATAATTATGTATAACAATTTTCACAAATTTAAAAGCCAAGTTATTATTCAATGCAGAAAATTTACATGCAACTTCTAAATGTTCATTCTCATTTGTCAGTATAAAATACTGGTTATTGAACTCTATTGGTGACAAAATGGAAAGAGATGAATGTAATGAAACTGGGATTTTATTTGCTTAAATAAAAAATCGAAGAAAGTGTTTTTACTCACCTGGTTCGAAGGACCATGGTGAGCTTATGCCATACTGCAGCGTCCATCAACTTTTCCTTTAAAATGCTACTAGTCCTGAACAGCCAAGTAGATTTTGACTGAATTTGGTCTGAAGCATCCTTAGGCCAATGGGACTCAATTTGTATCAACCGTGGGTGTGGCTTCCCTAGGGGCAAAGGGGCGGGGCCCAATAGGGGAAATAGAGGTAGCCTTTAAAATCCTTCTTCTACCATAGGGATTTAAGGATTTTACCTGAATTTAAGCTGGAGCATCCTTGGCTGAAGGGAATCTCCTGGGGGCAGAGGGCGGGGCCCAATATGGGAAATAGAGTTAAAAATTTTAAAATCCTCCTCTACCGTAGAGACGTAGAGATTTTATCCTAATTAAGTCTGGAGCATCCTTGGGCAAGGGCACTCAATTTTGTATAAGTGGTGGGTGTGGTCCCCCAGTGGGCAGAAGGGTTGGGCCCCATAAGGGAAATAGAGGTAAACCTTTAAAATCCTTCTTCGACCATCTGGATTAAGGGATTTTATCCTTATTTAGTCTGGAGTATCCTTGGGCCAAGGGGACTCAATTTTGTATAAACAGTGGAGTGGTTTTGACCCCCCTAGGGGCATAGAAGTGGGGCTCTGTTTAAAGATTGTTCTTGCGTTATCTCAAGTACTGGATGGATCTTTCTTACAGCACCTACCATAGAGCGCTATATCTTTAATTCATACCAACTATTTTAAACTTATTCAGGTGAGCGATACAGGCCCTCTGGGCCTCTTGTTTTCTATAGGACTCATTCGCTGATATGCTGTTTTCTGTATTACCTTATCTCTGATATGTTGTTTTCTATAGAACCCTTTTCTCTGATGTGTTGTTTTCTATAGAACCGGTACCCCATTCTCTGATGTGTTGTTTTCTGTATAACCCCATTCTCTGATGTATTGTTTTCTATAGGACCCATTCTCTGATGTGTTGCTTTCTAAAGGACCTACTCTCTGATGTGTTCTTTTCTATAGGACCCATTCTCTGATGTGTTGTTTTCTATAGGACCCATTTTCTAATGTGTTGTTTTCTAAAGAACTCCATTCTTTGATGTATTGTTTTCTATAGAACCCCATTCTCTGAAGTGTTGTTTTCTATAGAACCTCATTCTCTGATGTGCTGTTTTCTGTTGGACCATATCTCTGATGTGTTGTCTTCTATAGGACTATTTCTCTGATGTGTTGTCTTCTATAGAACCCCTTTCTCTGATGTGTTGTTTTTCTATAGAACCCCATTCTTTGATGTGTTGTTTTCTATGACTGTTTCTCTGATGTGCTGTTTTCTGTTGGACCATATCTCTGATGTGTTGTCCTCTATAGGACTATTTCTCTGATGTGTTGTTTTCTATAGAACCCCATTCACTGATGTGTTGTTTTCTATAGAACCCCTTTCTCTGATGTGTTGTCTTCTATAGGACTATTTCTCTGATGTGCTGTTTTCTATAGAACCCCATTCTCTGATGTGTTGTTTTCTGTTGGACCATATTTCTGATGTGTTGTTTTCTATAGAACCCCTTTCTTTGATGTGTTGTTTTCTATAGAACCCCTTTCTCTGATGTGTTGTCTTCTATAGGACTATTTCTCTGATGTGCTGTTTTCTATAGAACCCCATTCTCTGATGTGTTGTTTTCTATAGAACCCCTTTCTTTGATGTGTTGTTTTCTATAGAACTCCATTCTCTGATGTGTTGTTTTCTATAGGACCAATTCTCTGATGTGTTGTTTTCTATAGAACCCCTTTCTCTGATGTGTTGTTTTTCTATAGAACCCCATTCTTTGATGTGTTGTTTTCTATGACTGTTTCTCTGATGTGCTGTTTTCTGTTGGACCATATCTCTGATGTGCTGTTTTCTGTTGGACCATATCTCTGATGTGTTGTTTTCTATGACTGTTTCTCTGATGTTCTGTTTTCTGTTGGACCATATCTCTGATTTGCTGTTTTCTGTTGGACCATGTTTCTGATGGGGTGTTTTCTGTTGGACCATATCTCTGATGTGCTCTTTTCTGTTGGACCATATCTCTGATTTGCTGTTTTCTGTTGGACCATGTTTCTGATGGGGTGTTTTCTGTTGGACCATATCTCTGTTGTGTTGTTTTCTATAGAACCCCATTCTCTGATGTGTTGTTTTCTATAGGACCCCTTTCTTTGATGTGTTGTTTTCTATAGAACGCCATTCTCTGATGTGTTGTTTTCTATAGGACCAATTCTCTGATGTGTTGTTTTCTATGACTATTTCTCTGATGTGCTGTTTTCTGTTGGACCATATATCTGATGTGCTGTTTTCTGTTGGACCATATCTCTGATGTGTTGTTTTCTATAGGACTATTTTTCTGATGTGCTGTTTTCTGTTGGACCATATCAGTGATGTGTTGTCTTCTATAGGACTATTTCTCTGATGTGTTGTTTTCTATATAACCCCATTCTCTGATGTGTTGTTTTCTATAGGACTATTTCTCTGAAGTGTTGTTTTCTATAGAACCCCTTTCTCTGATGTGTTGTTTTCTATAGAACCCCTTTCTCTGTTGTGTTGTTTTCTATAGAACCCCATTCTCTGATGTGTTGTTTTCTATAGGACTATTTCTCTGATGTGTTGTTTTCTATAGGACCATATCTCTGATTTGTTGTTTTTTGTAGGACCTGTACTACCATGCCTACTGTTTCTTGGGGAAGCTGCTGAGCATTAGCCATGAGTTCCCACTGCCATGTGAGGCCTACTCTGGGGCTGTGTGGACAGTCTTCTATACCTGTGCCAAGGATGAAAGTAAGTACCATCTACAGAACTTCAGTAAAATTCATAAAAGCTGGAAATAGTTCACAATAGATGACTGAAATTTTCATAGATTATAATATTTTATGGTATTTACAGCTATCTTCTAAAAGAATGAATACATTTGTCCAAATAATTTCAAAGCAACCTGTTTGCAAATTATTATTATGATACAAAAAGTGTTACCAGGTTTTTTCTCCTTCCATAAACGGAAACTTTATAAAGGAAATTTCCTGTAGTATCCTTTGCCCTGCATGATCGTAAGAGGCAACTTGTTATTCTGTACCCCCTTTTTAGGAGACACCAATGTGATGTGTTCACCATTTTAAAATGACGTTTGTGTGCTCCTCATCATCTATGGGCATCATAAAATTATGGCTTTGGATGTTTCAAATATGTAAAACCCAAATCTACCAATCAATTAGTTTAATTATAGGGGCAAGTGCACATGTGTTATTTTGCAGGTAGACCTAGCATTTTCAGTGATTTCTTCCATCGATGCTCTAAATATATTGCTGTAGTACTTATATCTGTACTGACATCATCAGATCCTGCTGTGGTCCAAGTGTACATCTTTAGTTTCATATTCAAATTATGTTGTTTTTATATTAGATTTAAGCAAAATGATCAACAGTTTTACTTGACCATTGCTATAAATTTACAAGTAAAACTGTTCATCATATTGTTTACAGCTCACAAAGTGCCTGCACCCAGGGGGCTTTATGCTGTCTAGTGATGATTGTCATCCAACACCTGTCTGTCTTCAAATTGTTTCTTTAAAACTTATTGTTTAGAACCATATAGTAAGGCCTGACGTCATGATACTTGACATGTAACTTGCAGGGGAGAACGGCTATCATATTTGTTCAAATAAGGAATAAGTAAATAATCGTGAAATGTGATAAAATCTAATAACTTTTACTTTAAATGAATGCAAGAACAAGACAAACTTGGCCTGTCGTTTTCTGGGGGGAATATTTTTAATATGGACCAAATCAATTACATGTACCTTATCCCTTATTACATTTGCTGATATGATCTTCATAGGGGCAAATGTGTTCAAAACTTTTAGCCGTTTTTTAAGAAACGAGATGCTCAAAGTAATGTTCTTCTGCCAATAGCTTGCTGAGATTAAATAAATCTATTATATTGTAGAATTTATATGACTACACATTCAATAGTAAAATTGAGCTACTTGTGCCCACATTCAAGGTCACAGGGGTCAAATATGTTACGAGGGGGTATTTTCAAATACATAATAGCAAAACAGTTGAGTGTAGTCGAAGCAAGATTTAAGAGTATCTTGTGAAAAATTGATTGACATACTTCTTTTTTCCTAATTCCAGCGTTCAAAGCTGCATTGAGTCAAGTTCCCATGCATGAGTTGAAAAACACTCAAAATGACATGAATGCCATCATCAAAGAAAAGCGTCACATGATCAGATATATTGCGGAAGGCATTTTTCAATTTGACGATCGATTCTGATTGGACGAGACAAAGAAAAGCGTCACATGATCAGATATATTGCGGAAGGCATTTTTCAATTTGACGATCGATTCTGATTGGACGAGACAAAGAAAAGCGTCACATGATCAGATATATTGCGGAAGGCATTTTTCAATTTGACGATCGATTCTGATTGGACGAGACAAAGAAAAGCGTCACATGATCAGATATATTGCGGAAGGCATTTTTCAATTTGACGATCGATTCTGATTGGACGAGACAAAGAAAAGCGTCACATGATCAGATATATTGCGGAAGGCATTTTTCAATTTGACGATCGATTCTGATTGGACGAGACAAAGAAAAGCGTCACATGATCAGATATATTGCGGAAGGCATTTTTCAATTTGACGATCGATTCTGATTGGACGAGACAAAGAAAAGAGTGTGATCTTCGTAACATATACAGAAAGAAAATCTTATCAGAGATAAGCAACACATGTCTATTAAGTTAAAGATCCATTGTGATTGGACAGAACATATCACATGTCTACAGTAGACAACTTTGATTGGTGTATAGTAGATCATGCTCATGATTGGATAATCACAACTAATGTCATGCTATACAATGCAGCATGTCTATAGTGATGACATCTGATTGTAAGGCATGAACGTTCCATTTGTTATTTAATGACAATCAAACTGTAGATATCAGCCATTCAGCCATTCTTTGAAATCTTGTGCTAGTGTGTTATTTAAAGACAAAAAATAAGTTTGGATACAACGCCTGTATGACACAGATTAAGCTACAGAAAATCCAAGGAAAGGTCAAATTTTGATATTAAAAATTTCAGACCTAGACATAATTTTATAACAATAACACATGTTATTATTAAAGATCACATATAATAATAATTTTGCATGATTTGCTTTGCTATTGTGAGGTTTACGTTTTTATTTATTTAGAGTTTTTATCCCCCGCTGTCACCGAAACGGGGGATGTTAGTTTTGGGTTTGTCTGTCTGTCTTGTCTGTCTCGCTTTGTTTCCGTGCAATAACTACAACAAATGTTAACCGATTTCCTTCAAACTTAAGGTCACAGGGTTAAATACCTTAAGGGCTCGGCCAAGTTCGTTGACCACTTTCAGCGGACCCCATTAACGAAAAACATCATTATCTTCCTATTCTGTTCATTAACTCTCGCAAATAGTACCCGATTGTCTTCAAACTTAGTAACAGGGTTCCATGATTAAGGGCTCTGCCAGGTTTGACAACCACTTTAATCAGACTCCATTTGGCAGTGTCATTATCTACAGTTTCCAATTAATAACTCTAGCAAATATTAGATACCAAGGTAAGGCTTTTTTTCTTCGAGTTTCAAGCTATACATTATGTTTCAACAGCAAGATACTGACATGTTTAAACCTAACCTCAATAATGTTTACCTACAATATGTCCTGAAAGCGGGGGATATAAATTCCACGAATTTGTATTTTTAATATTTTGTGCATGCTGTTCACTGAATTCTCACTTGATTACATCTATGAATCTGTCAGTGTTTAAGATAACAAACCACTTCCTTACTAATTTGTTACCCAGATCTGTCTTCTACTTGTGAACTGTTTAACCTCAATCGGGAAGGTTTCAGTGCCATATAAAATCCGTTAGATAAAAAAGTGGGATCTGTCTGATACACATTTCTGTTATTTAGATTACGACGGAGTCCTCATACATGAATGAGAAATCTGTCGTCAGACCTGACGTTCTTTGATTTTAACTTTAATGTAATTGCCATATATTAAATATGAGTGATTTAGTTTCAGATAGAAATTAGTTTCCCGCTCTTGACAGTACAAATGATTATTATTTTGTTCTCAAGAAGTTTCAGAAAGAAATGCAATATTCAACAGCTTTGTTGATCTTTGTTTGCAAATGTCACAGATTATTTTTTCTGTTTAAACGTAAGTTATATATTTGCCTGCTGTTTTAATTTTATATATGAACGAATTCAGATTTACTGTTTAGATGATAATGTTTACCGTAAATATACAATAAATATTGAGAATTAGACGCACTAGGCATATCCCCAGCATTAGGATTAACGGAACGTGTTTCCTTCACCTTTGTTAGTATATTGTTTTTAAACATGTTTCAAATAGAACAGAAGAAATGATTTACACTCGAACGAATAAAGCCTCAAATTAGATACATTTTTATACACAATGTATACATACTGTAACAATGACATCCATTACACTTTCTATAATTTGAGAAGTATGTAACAGACCATTTTATTAAATTCACTAAACTTTATTCGTGCGTAGTTATCACTACCACTGTCCTAGCTTTGAAGTTGTGACATTACTAGGATTTGACGTTGATTTGCACGGTTGGTGTCATCGATGAACCGCTTACCCTGATGGAACATCTTGTCTTCTCCTTTTGCTAAAAATTCTTAGTGTGAGGTTTTGCTTTTGTTCATGCTTTGTCTTAGTTTTATCGATTTAGAATTCAAATGACGTTTTTATTTATATTTCGATACTGTTAGTCATTTATATAAGATTATATAGATATGTTGATCCAGATGTATAATGACATACTACAGACTTAACACTATTTCATATAAATGTATTATTAACTAAATATGAATACAAAGTCGAAAGGAAAAGACAACAACAGGTACATACGAGACACCGGAAAAAAAGAAAAGACATGAAGCCGTGCAAAACATAAAAAGTCTCATCACGTCTTACGAAATAGTAAGGATAATGTGGTACCGTTCATGATATTTCTGTCGAAACCGGGAAATATCTAGGTCCGTGGTCGGTCTGTGCGCTGTCGTCCGTCGTCCGTCCTTAAACAGTTCCTGTTGGTTTAAACAATATTTTATTTACAAATATGCTGTACATAATATACAATTTTACATAATTTAATATTAGGGATTCTATATGCAGGTTCTCCAATATCCTTTATTGTTCATGTTTACCTTTGAAACTGATCAGATAAACAAAATGGCCGACCGACAGCTATCTTCGAATGAACGTTGACCATACCAATAGTCCCTTGGATGTCAATCACTACTCTACACCCATAGGCAACTTGTACAGTTAAAACGGTACCGATATGGTTCATAACTTAACCATACTAATTCAGTTTTAACAAACTTAACATTAAATGTATGTAATTGAACATGAAATAAATAATACAACAGAGAGACCCTCGTAAGTACGAGAATGATAAACTCTTGAAACACCACGACGCTAATTTCCCTTTTGCTAACTTTTCTTTTCCAAATATTAAAAAAGGTCAGTGTAGTCCTATCATGCTACTTCCACAATATCAAAGCTTTGGCAGAAATAGAACTCGATTTTGAAACCAACACCACTATGTTTTTCCCATTTTTACCATTGCGCTTAACAAACAATATACATGTATATCATAACCCATTTTAACCTGAACCCATTGGCATTCTAATAGGTGGGTACTGTTTCTTGCTTATTGATTACCCAAGAGCTACAGATGGGCACGGAGGTACTTAGAGCCAAGGGGAACGATAAGCTTCTTTAAACCAAGGTAGTTTGCTTATTAAGTTGAAAGGAAAGTCGCTTTGTCGTTCGCTTGGAATGAAGGTGGTTATAGTATCTACTTAGAACCAAGGTGACTGGCTTAGCTCCTTTGCACCAAGGTAGTTTTACGGGAAAGAATGAAGGTGGTTATATATAGTATCTACTTAGAACCAAGGTGGCAGGCTTAGCTCCTTTGCACCAAGGTAGTTTTACGGGAAAGAATGAAGGTGGTTATATATAATATCTACTTAGAACCAAGGTGACTGGCTTAGCTCCTTTGCATCAAGGTAGTTTTACGGGAAGAATGAAGCTGGAACTTCTTCTATCATCTATGGTGGCTGGATTCACCGTTTATTATTTGCTGAATACAACTTTATTGATTTGCTGAATAATTTCGATATTCTGTAAAAACATATAATGACCAACACATTTGCAGCCTTCCTACAGTACGCCTTTAATTCCGCCACCTTCGGAATCATAACAGCAAGACAAAACTACTACAGGCATAGTCAATATAACCCATCATGGCTGTACATAATACACTTCAATGCCATTAACTAATTTATTTTTGTTTACGACGACACGGTTCTTAAACAGATTGTTAAGCTAACAACACATTCACTACAGGAGAATTAGTATACCGCGTTTCCTTGTACAAGTCATCCGTCATTTACCTGACAGCCTGATCACCGTGTAGCGTACACTATAGAGGTGTGGTCACGTCTATACCAACTTCTATACAGGATCACACATCACTCTAGTATAAATACAAATTTTGACAAACATTTTAATATTCCTGTTAACGTTATAACGCTACATGTATTTATATAGCACAAAGGTAGTGTATACCATCCTAGTAATTCTGTATGTGACTACATCATTCAGTGATACTCCACTGTAGTATTCATAAAAGTGCTTATAAAACGAAAACGTAATAATCATATACAGATTTTATTGGGAAAAAAGAAAATCTAGATTTGATTTTAACCAACAAACAACCTAACTAAAACCTGATCGAAAAGGGTAAGGGTTCCATAAAAAATGTGTTAGTTCACATCTTATTGAAATTTACATGTTCCGTATTTTCTTATCTCAATGCTAATGGAAAACAAATTCTTCATGTTTATGAATTATTGTTTCTCTAAGTGTTAATTTTTTCTGTTTATGTAGCCAGGTTTTCCAACGGAAAGTCTTGTTTCTACGCAATGTTCTGACACGGTCGTGTTCACATGACATCGATTATGAGCGTACAGTGTATCTTTGGTGTTTATGTTTTCCGTTTTGGTTAGATCTATGACCTATACACTCATTCCTTTGACGGAGGTCACCATGACGACTGACATTTGCGACGCAGGAATAATACAATCTTTTATTCCTGTGTGATGTAAATTAAGAAATTAAAAACAATATTGGCAGTATTTTTTAAAGTATAGCAAGAGGCATTGCTAGAATTTAAAATCTTATCTCCGGGATTGAGACACATCTGTCTGCATCACACGGGAGCGATTGATTGCCGTAAGAGCATGTCGAAGCTGATGGAATACGTAACAGAATGCATAACGCTACCCTGGTAACATTGTATAAAGTATTGACGCAACTGGTGCGTTTATAGAATAATAGCGCGGGCTAGCTGTGTTAACCTCAGTAGGAAAATTAGATTAATTAATGTTTTGCTTAGCAAAACTGGAAATGTAAATGTGAAGTATAGGAGAAACCCTTGTCATTCCGAAACACATGGTTCGCCCCATCAATTGTTTCATGATCGTTAACTATCCTCTAATCAGTTGAAACATACCGCCTTTCTTTGGCATGGACTTTTACAAATTGAGGTTTGTGACTATATAACTATTTTTGGATGGCAGTAATGCGTACTAAATGTTGATCACTGTTTCAATTCCTTGATTTGAATTGTGATTTAGAAGAGTAACATGCTTGTCCTGAACACATCGTCTCTTCCTGGTGTAGGTAAAGCCTATGTTGAGGACATAGTAGATCATTCCATCCAACTGTTGTGAAGTGTTGTCGACAGCATGGCTAACGACCGCTCTATATCTTACAGTTGATGAAAATGTATGATGGTAGTACGTCTTTCGCCGAGAGCTAGCATACATAATATTCAATTAAGTGTGTTTACGAAGCTTTTCTAGGGCAGCATGAACAGGTATATGAATGGAAAGCATTGCATTAATTCCAATACAAAAACATCTTGTTTCATCCAATAAATTTCTGAAAAATAATAATGAATTAGAAGTGGTTTATGCAAGATAAAGTGTATGAAAAATACTGTGGATCTCAAACAAAGCCGTCTTTATTTTGGATTTTGAGAGTTACCTTAAAAATGATCACCAATGGACAAGCATTATGACACAATTAACGCTTTTTAGATTGTAAAACTTGAAACAATGTTTAATTGTCTTGTTGCGGTACATCCTGTTTATCCTTACTGCAATGCCACACATACATAACTACCTTATACACTCACCACATACACGTTTGGTAGTGCCAATCCTAGGATGTCGCCAGTTGCTCCTATCTTTGACGGGTTGAGTAATTCACCCGTGTCCGTCACACGTAGTCGTCATTTCGCACGCGGGCCCACTCCATCATACATACCTCACGTCAGCGCTGATCAGGCAGCAAATCTCTACAACAGTATCAGGCCATAGGATTTAGCTATGTAGGTACCTGGAACACATACAATGCAGGCTATGCACTTTGTAACGGTTGGGCTGCTTCTGATGCTGACCGTGGGTGATGTCCCTTCTGTATGGGGGCAGGAGACGAACAAGCCGCTAGAGGGGGCAATGATTGCCCCCGTGATGAGGTCCGCAATGTGGGCCTACCTCGGGAATGCCGCTTATGCCAACCAACTTTGGCAAGCTGTCAACCATGACTACTTCGACAGACTTAATTGTGGCGCGAAAAGAGTAAGTAAATCTGAAATATTTTCTGCAAGTCCATTTATATTAATGACAAGAGGCACTTGGTAATACGATAGAGCGCAGAACTGTTTGGAATGAGGAGACAAAGGAAAGGTATTAGCACTGATAAACATAAGAAAGTGATAAGTTGTCGGGTATGCAATGTAATTGAATGCAACAAACCTATTATGCGTTGTAAGTTGTCCGAATATGCATAGGCAGAAATAAAGACTTATGTCATATATTACACAGGGTTTCTGCTATAGAAACTGTTGCACTTTATAGTCATTTTTACAGAGCTTTACAAGAATCAGTGTTTGCTTTCCTTCTGTATTTTGAAACAGTTTAATTTGTCGCGCATGGAGACGATTAAGGTGCCGCTGTTATAGAATAGATACTACCATATGAAGCAGAGGATGAGAGATAATTAATAGTGATTTCATGACTTGATTTGAACTCATTAAATCCTTCAGCAACATTTCGCGCTTGTCTTCTGCAGCATCTCCAGACGACTTTCCCCACACATATATATAATATAACTTTATTTCATATTCCTGACATATGTGAAAGCTAATTTACTCCATATACTCTTCGTCGTGTTGAAAACACAAGTTTAGTTCTTATGATTAAATAAGGATCCCGTTGGTGGAATTCGTTTATGTCCTTAAGCTTGCTAAAACAGATTTATTTTCAAAATGTCAAACCGTGTGACACACTAAACTATCAAAGGAAAATGGAATCCATTTAAGATACATAGAAGGGAAATATCTTTCCCAATTAAATGCACGTCTTTTCTTAAAAATCCTTGAGATAATAGGGATTTCTTTTTGTGAGAATTAAATGGGCTCCTTGATATAAGGAAATGTTAGTTGTGCCTTGCGACAATGGGATCGGTTGATAAAAACAATCGAAATGGACTGCAGTAGAGCATTGATCGTTTCTAGCGAAAAGGTATGGATTGTGAAACAGCTAGATGACTGGGACGATTGTGTATAGAAATAGGGCAGCTCTGACTAAAGGTCAAACGGTGACAGTAACGAGAATCAACTGCAAACTTATGTTTTAGACTGGTGTTTGATTGGTTGGTTGGTTCAATACGATCATATTAGTCCATAAAGTTATAAACATACCACATGCAAGTCATTGTGACCTGAATTAAACAACAGTATTCCGACATGAAGACATACATGTTCACTGTTTGTGAACAAGATTCTTTCTTGGATTGAACCACAGAAATGACAGTTGTCTCATTTAGTGTTGGGGATGGTTACTATTCCAAGACAGTTGCTTACGTCTTGCTGTAGCTCTTGCGATTAATACGATCTTTTAATTTATGGTGTCTACTAGGTTTCTGTATATTTTTTATGTCAATTTCATTTTCTGTATGTATTGTCATGTCAAATTAGTGTACCTCTATTTATGTATCAACTTAAAGTCCTGGTGTCTTTGATTTTCATTGAATTCCTGTTTTGACGCTGTGGTTTACTGTTTCATTGTATTCCTGTTTTGACGCCGTGGTTTACTGTTTCATTGTATTCCTGTTTTGACACTGGTTTACTGCGTTAACGACATGCCATTTGGGGACAACATACCCTATAATCTTCACTGTTGCTGTCTTTTGATAGGACTTGCACTTTTATTAAAGTCTCTACAAATTACTGTTTTTCCACAACTCATATAACCTTTTATTTAGTTCTATAAAATGTCATTTAATTTACTCATTGGGACAAATTGTGTGTGCATGATGTTACTTTATCAGTTACGGTGGTATTCGACGTACACAAACTAGTATTACCTGTATCTACCCCGGGGACGTGGACATCCACTTGATGGCGACATATGTCTGTGGTTTATTTAGTGGTTTAAGAGGTGTGCTTGTATACCAGGAACCTATGTGTGTAGTAGGCATCTCTTATCAGTGTGTAAAGGTATGCTTTAACCATCACAATCGTTGGTACCATTTCAGACATGAGTTTTATTTTTTTATTTTAACCCTAATTTCCATTGATGAAACCTAAATGGACAAAATGATCCTATGATGCAGTGAAATGTTCAATTCGTTTGTCTTTCTGCTTCTACAAACAAGGTTTTCATTTAGGTGCTAACTTTCTATGTATTTCTAGTGATAATAATAGGCTATACAGCTGTACTATGTGTGATTTCATATAAAAATAAAAAAGGAGGATACAACCAAAAGAGCAATCAACGGGTGTTTTCTGCGACATCACATAGACCACATATTACACGGATTATTCAGTTAATTATATAACTGTCATTGCGAGGTTTCGTGCGTTCGTGTATTATTTGTGGATATCAGATTATTAACAATAATATTATAGTTTCTTTCATTGTAAGGTTTTCCACCTTTAAGTTCAGTGTTATTTTATTTAAGATTTTGTCTTTTTCATTGTATAATTGACTTTATGGTATAGTGTTACCTTATATATATATACTTCCATTTTGGGGACAGTTTGTGAATTAAAAATGTAACGTATTGGGGACTATCATTTTCTTTTTTCATTTTCACACTCTCTTGCACACGTTTTCACAAATTATACACTCACCATGTTCATCATCATCATCATAATCATCACCATCATCATAATCATTATCTCATCATCATCCTCAAATGCTCTGATCATCATAGTAATCCTCAGCATGGCCATACGATTATCATCATCATACAATGAGTGCCTACTGCAGCACACCCCACAATAAATGTTGATCGTCTGAAACCCGAACAGAAAAAGATATTCGAAGCTTTATTAGAGAAGAAAGACTGTATGGCGGTGTTGCCTACGCAATTATTACTCAATGGGTACGTTTTCCTTGGCGTCGTAGAAACGTCAGTTCCCGCTGCCATATTTGTTTTGGAAACTAATCTGTTCGATACCCCTCGCTATTTATATATCAACCATGATATTCCGATTCGCTGGCAAACGTTTGCCAGGGTGCCTCTGATTGGTTCATCTAAAGGTCACTTGAACGTGACACTGACCGCGGCACATTCAGATGTTCAGGCGGAGCCATGTAACAGATGATTTTAATCAGATTGACCATAATTTCAACTCAGCATCATCAATCTGTACAAAAAATGTCATCCTTTGCAGTTAGCTCAGCACATCACCAGCACCCTCACTTTTACCATTATTGATATCTTGCTAATATAACTATCATCAACACTGCCACTAAACCACACTGCATCGTCATTTATTTTCATAATGAGGAAGATCAGCATAATATTTTTTTCTTTTAAATATCCTGTTACATGTTTACAAAGTTTAAGACAAACACTCAACATCATGTTATTATTTTATACATATAACTAAAGTATACACTGCACTTTATTCAAAAAACATCAACAGATATACCCACTTGTTTAAGCTTTCACTCACACACACTCACAAACACTCTGTCTATAAAAAGATAAAATCCCTATAATTGCTATATCTCATGTATATAATATTGTTGAAAAGGAAGGAAAGAGAAAAAGGAAAGGGAAGAAGAAAAAAGAAATGAACAAGAAAATGAATTATAGGCATAGATACATAGAAATATTATATTAGTGAATTCTAGGGATAGATACCAGAGATAGGGATGTTGACTTATATTCATATAGTACTTAAAAATATATTTCTTTTCTGAATCAGCAAAATATCTTGCCAAAGTAATTGTGTACTAATTAATAAATAACATATTTGAAATATTCAATACATGAACAATGCGTATATGTGTGTAATTTTGTGTACACTTATATTTAAAATTAGTCCACAAGCTCTATCAGCCGCATCCTATTTTCCCAGTATGAAGTAAATCTCTGCATATAGTATTCAGATTTAGCAGTTCCAATATAACGTTGTACAGAGTAATTGTCATTGATTTTAAAAATAAGAGTGTTGTTATTCAACATTTCACTGTTACATCTAGAGCTGTAAATGTATTGCTTAATTATTAAAAGTATTTCGTTATCGCTCTTATTAAATCGTTCTGTTTGTGTAAACAATCCTAATATAAATGTGAGTTTATTGTATTAAAAAGGAATAAGCAATGCATCTAAAAGAGATTTAAAATTTTGCAAAAAAGACTGAACTTCCTGGAATTCCCATAATAAATGCACTATAGTTCCTTCGACCTGATTGCAGAAAAGTTTATCTGAGATACCCACTTTAAATAAATACAAATGTGTCGCTGTATATGATGTGAAATTCGAAACTGAAGCCATTGTAGCTTTGTATTAGAAGTAACTCTAAAAGGGGTTTGATGTATACGTTTCCAGTGCTGGTATCAAGTTCACTATTCTATTTAATCTGTCCAGTTGGAAATTTAAGCAGAAAAAAAACCTCTCCAAATTTACTGGAAAATATGGAAAAGAAACTTTAAAAAATGTCATGTCATTACCTGCTAAAAACTGTCTTACTGCAGCCATAATACCTTCGAAAGTTAGAAATTCTATGTTTATTGAAATAAATCTATAAACTTATGAAAATTGAAAAAAGAGTTATCCTTTTTGATTAAATCACTTATTATAACTATACCATTGCTGTACCATTCTCTGTAAAAAATGACCTTCTACCAACACTTACTTGTCTATTAAACCATGTTCGAGTTTTTGTGACCTCTTTCCCTTGTCCAAATGGGTTTTCCGTCTCAGCTTTCTAAGTCTTTCCCATGCCTTCAAGATATCTTTCCAGAACTGATTCTTGCATTTATCATAACAAATTTGTAAATAGTCATCCTCAACATTAACAGGTAGGTTAATATCTACAATAGATTTGTACTGCCATTTACCTTCACTAAGGTCTCTTGACCCAATTCAGTTTCAGAGAATTAATCAAAGCCTGCACATTAACTATTTTCAATCCACCATCCACATAGTTTTGTATAATAAGATCCCTCTTTACCTGGTCAGTTTTACTGTTCCACATATTCTCAAACAGTATAGAATTCAAAGTTGATATAAAATTAGCAGTAAGCATCAGTGATTTTATAATATGAATTTTCCCAATAGGTGTCAATGACCTTCTACTTCAGATTCTAACTAGGGCTTTCAGTTTAATGAGGTTTTTTTGGTCATAATTAAGCTTCGGTATCTGATGTGAATTCAAGCTGAATTCTATTCCCAATAAAGTAAATGTTTCCTTTCCCCAATCTAGGTTCATTTCTGGAAAAAAGCTGACATCACTAAATATGATACTGCCAATCCAAATAACCTGTGTCCTGTTAACATTAATCTTTAAATCCGAAAATTTAGAAAAACTGTCTAGTTCATTAAGTGCTTCTATCAATGATCTTTCAGAGCCATCTAATATAAGTGTAGTGTCATCATGGAAATCAGGATAGGACAGTCTTTGATCTCTACACCCTTCATATTATACTATTTCCAAAGCCAAATGAGCCAAATTTCACGAAGGGTCATTTTTGGCCCTGTCTTTAATTGTTTTCATATTTATACCACATACTTGTATGAATAGGAATAGGTTTAAAACATAGTTTTTTATCAATTGGGATTTGCATTCCTTAGCAACAGCCCTAGCAACGTCGATCATTTTTACGACAGAAATCTACAGATTTCCTTCTTATCGTTTTTGTTTCGTTTCAATTTTAACATTTTTAGACCTTTAAATGCTGATCTAATAATTGTCGTTGAAGTGTATTATGATAAGAAAACGAATATAATTTGGTATTGTCATTTGATTACCAAAAACGTCCATAGCAACCATATTTATACCATAGCAACGCTATATAGGAGACAGTAAAAATGGGTTTCCAGCATGAGTTTAATAATATATAGTATATATTTACATTTGCCATGTGACTTTACATCATCAGCCTACCAGCAACAAATGTTCCACTATACCGTTATCCATATGGGTGTTGATGTTGCAATTATGCCTGCTTGTCAGGTGGCACCTGCATGTTTATGGAATACTTCAAAATTAATATAATAACAAAAAGTATGTCTCGGAAGTAATATTGTATTTCAGTTTCTACACATAATTTATTATATGAAACGTAATTATATATCTTTTCTTCAACGGAGGTTGAAAGTTCTCGTCACTGTTCTCAGTGGGTTGTTTTGATGGAAGCCTTATTCTGAATCTGTGCATCTATCACAGATGACGTCATTGTCTTTGCTCTTGATAAGAAATGATTTTTGCAAGAACTTCTTCAGTTCCTTTGTTAAACATTCCGTCTTTCTTTCGGCTTCGTCCGTTTTGAGCATAAAACACATTAAAATCGTCTCGGCACAACACCAGCCATTCTGCAGAACTAAAATAATATAAGTTGAAAGCATTTGCGGACCTCGATAATTCTCTGTTTTATACCAGTATTGATTGAATAGGGAGTGATTTAAGATTGATCCAATGAGACTGATTAATATAAGCTCTTTGGTTTGGTCTGGTTTGTTTCTGAATCATTTAAGAATGATTTATCGCCATACAAAGACTCATTTTGTGATAGTATGACACAGTGTGCCTGGCCGAGCGTATCCCACAAAAGAAGGGCAAAATTCACGGAGACCTGATGCTGTAACCATTAAACTAACGTACCACTCAATGGAATCGACGTTTCAAAACTTGTAGATAGTGTTCAATCATTTGTCACTCGTGATATTTTGCTTGTTTTTTGCGCTATTTTCCAATTTCTTGTCATCAAATCAATGTACTGCTGTCTAAATTTTCTACAGAAGAAGCATCAGTGAAAGCAAAATGGATTATACGGACTTATTGTTACAAAACTAACTACGAGGGGTAAACCGGGACTCATCATTATGTCAAGAGTCGCATTCAGGCTGCAATATCGATAGAATGGATGGATGTTTTCACGCCTTATAGCAGATATTTTCATTATTTCACTGATGAATAGGACTTCCGACATTTGTTAAAATACGTCACTATCAATACCAGAACAAAATATCTTTATAAATACGTAAAACGTGACCTTATTAACAACTGTGACATTTCGGGACGAGTTGTCCAATTTTCTTTGTCAGATGACAGCTCGATCGAGGGGAAATTATTTCTCACCTCAATTGTTACGATTCCAGCTTCTTACTCCAAACTTGAAGTGAAAATAGGGGAAAATTTCGACTCTACTACATCTTCATCTTTTCGTGATTGTCGTGATGATCAAAATGAATTATTATTTATGGGAACAGCAAAATATCAATGCTGGAACGTAACGTTGTCACCAGCATTTAACATTGGTAATCGTGAGCGCACTGGCCGCGATACTCAACCACAAATTTCTCACTTCCAACTGGCAAACATTCATGTTTTATCATATGTAACCATACTTCGCCCAAATAACAAATTATACAAATAAATATCTTTTCTTTCGTTTGCAATAAAAAATATTCTGAATGAAGTGTGGTGCCTATGTTAATTTGAGTAAAACATCTAGACATATGGGGTAAATTTTAGTCAAAAGGCGTAACCATGGTAATTTGTGACATGCGGAGTAAGAAAAATACGATTTTTTTTCTGTCGAACATTTTGGAATATGTTTTTCTAGATATAGGCCAAGAATTTGACACATGTTATTTTGTTCTGTAACAAGTTTGAAAATTTCGTAAAAACAGGGCCAAAAATGACCCTTCGTGAATCTACTCCTTTCCAAGAGACAGTCAAATGCCTTCTCAAAATCAATTATTAGTAACATGCCTGGGATATTCTGGTCTTTTGTATACTGGATGAATCATTAACAAGACGAGTGTTTTCTCCAATATAACGACCATCAAAAAAACATGTTTGATCACTACTAATTAGCTTATCTAAAACTGTTTTTATTCTAGAAGAAATAACCCTCGATGCTATTTTATACACAATGTTTAATAATGATATTGGTCGCCAGTTTTTCAACAAGTGTCTTGGTTTATCCTCTTTTGGAATGCAAGTTAAAATCCCTTGTCTTTGAGTGACAGATAACTCTCCAGTAGAATGGCCATAATTTATTGACCTTACCACAAAACCATTGCTTCCAAAAACATTAAAAAAAAACCTCAATAGTAAAACCATCCGATCCTGGACTTTTATTTTTTTTTCATATTTTTTAAAAACAGTCCTGGAGAGTTATCTGCCCTTCGATATCTGTAGATTCGATATTTGTCCACTTGGGTACGTTACAATTTTTTAAGAAGTTATTAAGATCAATATTTACGAAGTTATTATTCGCCTTATACATGCTTTCATAAAAATTCTTAACTTCAATCAGTATATCTACCTGCTTAACTATAATGTCTCTATTGTCCTTTTGTATTTTTGGTATAATTTTAGAGACAAAATTTCTGTTTTCTAAGTTTAAAAAAAAAACATTAGTCGGTTTTTCACCCTCCTTTGCCCATTTTGCCCTTGAACGAGCTAAACTGCCTAAAATCTTTTCTAGTCTAATACCCTCAAGCTAATTTTTTCTCTGATGCCAATGTTTCTAAATCAACAATATCTTCCGATTCCAACTTCTGTATGCTATCTTTGAGCTCCTTCTCCCTTACATTTCTATTTTTTTCCTATAAGATGCATATACAATTGTCTCACCACGTAGTTCCATCAGTAATGTTTCTAAGAAAAGTTGATCACTTAAAGTAAACTGTTAATTCTCCCCAGGTATGTCTTTCAAAGAACTAATATTATATATTGGCAGGCAGTAAAATTATTGAACCCTTAAAATATTATTTTTGACCAAGTCATGATATCAAATTTCCTGTAAAAGAGAGTTATGCAGCTTCCATAAACTCTTCCTTTTCTTAAATTCATTCATTCTTAATGTTCAAATAGGATATGAGTGGTCTGTTCTGTACCCTGCCTCAATACTTAAACCTTGAATACTGGTTAAAAGAGATTCAGATACGAGAAAGTAGTCTCGCCTATCCTGTTTTATTGGGGTCTTTCTCATCCATGTATAGCTCCTAGTCCCTTCATGTTGATCCCGAAAAATATCAATAAGCCCATTATTCTCATCAATTTCTAACTATTTATTCCTAGCCCTTTGATTGTTAATGTTCTTATAACTGTCATCATAGTCTAATTTAGGATTAAAACACAGTTAAAATCACCACATATGATATTATTATCATTATCAAATTGATTAAAAACTCTTGAATCTTTATAAAAAATCTGGACAGTCTTGGTATTGGGGACTATACGTATTTCCATATGTAGTTCTTTCCTATGAATTTATATATGTTCATTCGTATCATTACCCGATATTTTGTGAGTCCCCCTCCCCCACATCCTAAATTACTTTTCATTATTTCCTTTTCATTATTTTGTGCCTATTAATGAATTGTTAACTTTATAATTTTATGTAGTGTGAAGATACAGTTTGAATTTGTGATATACTTTCGTGCATTTTGTGAGGTTATATTAACTTCTATCACGCCTGTTATAGTGTATGTTTGTAACATTTCTCTTCACTGATGTATTTCGTGAGACAGGTATTTTTAATCATTGAACTTTGTGAAAAATGGTTACTACCGACACATCCTTTTCTTCATCTTTTGCTTCGTTTTTCTTCCAGTCGACTGACGCGGATTACGAACGGAAGTGTGGCCCCTGTGGCGATGCCGCCGACTCCAACAGGCCAAACGAGTACGGCGGAAAGTACTCCATCGGCGAGGTAGTTGCGCAGTATCACGAAGGCCATCAAATAAACATCTCCGTGGACATTAGAAGTATAAATCAAGGAGGCACATTCCGATTTTCGCTGTGTGTTACAGATAAAACCACAAGAGTATCCCACTCCTGTTTCCGACAACATGTATTACGATGGCAGAACACCCAGATAACACGAATCCCAGTACCACGACAGCTTGGCCTGGCGACATACACCCTACAGCTGCCAGCCGGGCTCACCTGTCAGAACTGTGTAATACAGTGGCTATGGAGAGGTAAATATAAATTATATAGATCACCTTCAATATGATGTCCGTGAAAGTAATTTGGTATTGATAACATTTAGCAGATTCGAAATTATTTTTTTGCAAATATGTTAAACAAAAAATGTTTGTAATATTATCTTTGACGGTAAAATTGTGTAAAACAGCGGAATGAATGGTTACAAAGGTTATGGCCTGCTTTGACACGAGGCTGTTTTGATCCCTGCACTGTTCTGGTGTTTATAAAAGCTAAGGAGTGATAAAAAAGAAAATGTTTTTTTTTTACCGACGATATTTCAGAAAAGTTGTGAGATAGCTATTTTAAACACAAATTTTCAAATGTAGGATGTTTTAAAAAGGATTGTTTATGCCGTCCTTATTAGAAGGTAATCTTGACATTTCAAATAAAGGAATAAGATAGTACTGTTTAAGGTTACGTTCATCTCGGGAAAAATATTCTAGAAAGATATTGTCATATTCAATTTTGTAATGTTTAGAATTCCTGTTCTAAGACTTGTTTAAATATAAATTAAAAAGTAAGTGTACTTTCAATGTGAGTGCGTCGAAAACAACTTCCGATTATCTATTTAACCATACAATCGAGGCTATGAGCATGATACGAGGGAGTTTACATGGTTCTGCAATTACATAACATTCCTCTTAAAATTTCGTAAACAACGGTATTTCACTATCCAAATTTCATTTTTCACTTTGTTACAAGTTCTGTGATAGGCTAATAGTAGCACATGTGACCCACAAAAACAGCTGTTAATATAAGTATGAATTGCTGTTTTTCCAAGGGACTACTTTTAAAATTTTCAAAATCCACATCTTTTAATATTGTAGTTCGAGTGGTCTCCCATTGCAAAAACTAAACTCGCCAAGAAAAATATGCAAGATCTACTGTTTATCATTAATATTTTTTATTGTATCTTGGCTTTTTTCCACCATTATTTTAAGTATTAGAGGTTTTAAAAGAAATAACTGTAATCTACAGTTGACCATACTCACAACAGTGACAAGTTCTGTCATCTTACCCAAATCGGATCAGTACCAAAACGTATCAACAGATCAGTTATAACAATGATGTAGCCTTAGATTACATAACCATGCACATTACAAGATGGCGCGGACGACGACTATGCTTTCTCTTTTGGACACTATACAATAGTTGTTTTCATATAAATTCTGAAGCTCGTCATATAATGTTAATATGCTGACAAAAAAATAATTCATTTGAAGTGTAAGACACTGCAAATGGGTGGATTCGATTTTGGTCCTGACATTCGCAAATGCCGGAAACGCTGATTGGTGACGTCAGAGCGTTCTATACATATCTCGCGTGAGCCAGGGGGTCGTTTGTAAGAACACCGTCGATATGCAAGCATGAACGGGTACACATTTACTTACACACCTAATGAACGGCCTTCGCTTCGCTACGGTCGCTTATATGATGCGTAAGCATTTTTTTCCCCGTTCATACTTGCATGTATATAACAACCTGTCCATTGTTGTTAAATTTCAACCATTGAACAGGGAAAAAAACACAATACCTCAAAACAGACCTCGTCCCCTTTATTTAAAATTGACAAAGCGTTTATCTGAAATAATCCACTATTGTATTTAGGTTTATCTGAAGTAATCCACTAGTGTATTTAGGTTTATCTGAAGTAATCCACTTGTGTATTTAGGTTTATCTGAAGTAATCAACTATTGTATTTAGGTTTACCTGAAGTAATCCACTATTGTATTTAGGTTTATCTGAAGTAATCCACCATTGTAACATGGTAACACCATACATTTCAAATCACTTATACGGCAAATTTAAAGAAATCATTTCAAAATCGGTTTTGAGATATACAAATTGAATATTTAAATTATACTCAATTTAGCTTAGTCGGTAATATTTGATGCCTTCATGAAAAATTTTTACTGACATAATAACATGTCAATTTCTTGTAACCAAACTAAATCGGATGAAATAGCAGCTTCTCTAACACTTATTTACATACCTGGCTTATGAAGAGCACGATTTTGCCATTTGGTTACAAGCTGTCGGGGGGCACACCGGCCTCCAATCAACATTGTGTGTAGCCAGTCGAAACCACGATAAGCATAAAGTAAAATGACCCGGTAACGTATTCTAATAGTATATAAATGAGAAACTATGACCTAGATTAACTTATGAACTTGATAAAACGTGTTTTTATGTAACATGTACTATTGCTTTAATTTCATATGGTTTACAATGTGTACATTTTAGCGCATTTATGGCAATATTGAATGATGGGAAACGACTCAATACCTCAAAATTATTTATTAATCTAGCTAACACGACTATCGGATTCACATTTCTATGTTGATGAAAACGTTATAATGTATACGGTTGATATGTTGACTAGACTCACTGATCTCTGATCTTAAAAGCTAGTCAAATAGAAAAGTTCCACATCATCTCATCAAATATATGACATTAGATATGGTGTTATTCCGTTTGTCCTGTTTGTTTACAAACGATATTGATTGACTTCATAATGTCAATTAATTAGTTTTTCTGACGTTATCAACCTATTGCCTTATTTCAGAGAAAACTAAATTCGCTATGTATTCAGTTCAATATTAATAAAGTCAATATACATACCTCAAAACATATGTTGATTGGGGTTATCAAATATGATACATCATGGAGTTGAACATTAAGGTGACAATGCCTTTTTGTAGTGGGTTTGCAGAACCTTAATGTGTTGAAGAAGTAGTTGCGATAGGTGTGTAATTATATGAATATTTCCAAACAGATGATACCTCTACATGCGATCCCCCTAGAAGTAATAACTGTGGTCAACAGACCGTGACCAACTGTGCTGACGTTCAGATCCTCAGCGCTGGCGTTCCCCTTACGGCTAACTTCGACAAACCAAGATACGATGCTTATGCAAGCATTTTCGATCCAATGGATACAGGTGGTGATGGCGCGGATGACCATGGTATCGGGATACACGTACCTAGATCGTCATTGGACCCCGCCGTGACAATAAAACCTCCAGATCCGTCGCCTGGTGGATCGGTCTCTATACAAATCCCAGGCGGTGTTCCCCCAACAACCCAATTGCCTGGCGGATCTATCCCTGTCATCACACCAGGCGGGAGGCCCTCCACAAACCCGTCGACTGATAGTTCTCTCCCTGTGATTACAGTCATACCGGACGGCGCATCTTCGGCAAATTCTACAACAGGTATTGATGATGATAATCCACCAGAGACATCAGAGAAACTTGTGGGCCCAATCGGAGTCGTTCTGCCTGCTGTGGTTGGAACGACAAATGTGCTTGCAGGCAATACAGGTTTAGGCATCGCATTACTTGTCCTCGCCTTGTACATGTATATGTCACAACAGCCATTGATACAAGGTAATACAGTATTTGGTACACCAATGCCACCTACATTTTCCCCCTCACCCTTGGCGTATCAAAGTTACCTGAATCCAGCAACATCATTTCAGCAGGCAGTTGCACCTAGTGGATCGGTTTACAATAGTGGTGTATTTCCCTACACACAGACTGTCAGTGGGGGAGTTTTCCAGGGACAATCCGGTTTTGGCGGGGTGTCATATCCATACTTACAAAACAGTAATGTCGCACCAGGAGTGTTGAACTCAGCAATTGGTCCGAATGTCGCGTCAGGGGTGTTTAACTCCGCAATTGGTCCGAATGTCGCCCCAGGAGTGTTTCAATCAGCAAACAGTCCGAATGTCGCAACAGGAGTGTTTAACACAGCTATTGGTACGTTACCACAGACTGGTTTCGCAAGTCCCGGAATTGCCAACACTGGTTTTACATCTTTCCAGGCGCCAATAACAATTGGCGGTGTTTCTACGGGTTTATCATCCGGCTCACCCTTCATACCACAAAGTTTGGCAGGAAACGGCTTCGTTTCAGCGAGGTCAAATATCCCAATTACCAACAACGGGTTCAGTGTAACTCGGCAGTTTCCACAAGGCAATAATGCATTTGCTCAGATTCCAACACAACAATCTTCCGCCATCGGTAACACACAAATACAGGAGACTTTTCAGACACAGACGTCCTTCCAAACGCCATTCCAGAACAGACCAGATATAGTGATACCTCAATTTGACCAGGAGCCATCTACAATTCGACAAAGGGAAACGAAGTCGAATCAGGAGGAAGACATCGAGAAAGAGAAGAGCTGCGAATGTCATTCGCATATGTACATATTGACCGCTCATTGTCACGTGATGTCGGCGACGGAATGCCGGGAAGACGACGCATGTTTCTGTAACGAAGATAAACGTCCACTTCCGGCAAAGTTTCATCGAGGACAGCGCCCACTGTCGTCAATTAACACTAAGCCAGGTCAGAAAATGATATTGCCAACACAGCGTAGACAATTGCCGCGCCGTCTTCCTTCAATGCGATATAATAAACAAAACTAGTTCTTCGACATTTTGTCATTAATATCTGTATAAAAAGTTCGAGAAGGTAGTTCAAGTAAAGATCTGATTCTAAAGAGTAACTGATTGTTCCAAAAAAAGTACAAAATTTCTGAAATATTTCCTGGTGTTCTTTCTATTACGAATTATGGTGTTTTATCCAAGGTAATTATTTAATTGTATATTATACCGCATACCTATTTGTATCGTCTTTGTGCTCAGGATAACGGATTTATGATCCGTCGTATCAATTAATGCTTATAAAAAGGTTTGTCTGGGTGGTTTGCATTTTCTTTTTAATCCTTTATGAAGAGATTACTTAAAATTTAATAACAGATAAAAACTTTGCCGTTCTGAGAGAAAATGTGTTGTTATTTGTTAATTAAGGTAACGTGTATATAGAGCGTATGCATAACTGAGTAAACGTCGATTCTTATATTAAATAATCTGGCTGAAAAGCTTAATACATTTATTCTTATGTCATGCAAGCGTTAACCTCTAAGAGCGGATTACTGATATCACAATGTGCAAAACAACCCGAATAAACAGTATTTATTTATTTAATTACTTTACTTTAGTTCCGAATATTGGAGATAATTAAAAAGAAGATCGAAACATAGACGACACATATTTGAAAGAGCCTATTAATGTCGTCTTTTGTTTCATCATATCGTTTGAATAATACTTTGCAATCTGAATGTTGAATTGTTTTCGATTGTTTAACAAAACAGTTCGTCAAAATCTGAATTAGAGTTCAGAGACGGAAGGGCTCACATCGTTCCAATTTTTACGTATGTCTAAAACGGCAAATGCTCAGTACACACTTCGTATTATTACACCTCACCTTTACACCAAAGTCACATATCTAAGTTGAATGCCATCTATTATAACGGTCATTTAACCTCTAGTTGCTACAAGGATAACTACGATATCACTTCTGAAATGGGAAATAATGCAGAACCTGCGTATTGCATATACACAGTAAACTAAGTGCGTGTATTTGATTAACCTTGTCATATCTTTAAAGCAATATCATCGGTACTTTGTTACATCGGATTACAGCAAAGTATAAATTCCTAAAACGAAAGATGTACAACACAGACAAGACACGATGACAAAGCCGAGCTCAAACTTGATACTATTGTGGCAGGGTTCAATTGTACATAGGATTAAGGTCGCCTTCTAGCTTCGAGAAAATAACCGGAAAATCTTGGGACTTATGGCTGTTGGTTATTTTTCATCGTCTAAAATTTCATCAGCTTTTGATTTCCATTTGTTGAGAATATGAACGAAATAATTACAATTTTGAAAGTCTGGTTATAGTCTTTACATAATTTATGTATGCATCACCACCCATAAAAGAAACAATGGATAGTTCATTTATATCGAAATCAACAATAAATGTCCAGACAACGAACCCCAGTTCAACGCCCCTTTTCAGCAACGCCCCTTTTTCACAACGCATGCCGATTTATAACTAGTTACAGACAGAAACTGTTTAATTTTATTTGGCATCAATACCTGTCAAATCTCAGTGACAGTTACAAAATTTGAAATCCAATCCGGTGTTTCAGGATGGAACAGGAATTCTGAATTCTGCATGCTTTCTGACGTCATAATTAAGCTGATTCCAATGATGGCCGAACTTACACTAATGCTTGTCCGAACTTGACCCATGGCGGGGTTATTCGGTCATTCGATCCTCCGACAGGATAGTTAAATAATGTCCAACAACGGACGTGCTGCCATACTTCCTAGAACAAACTTAAATAAAAAAATAAAAAGGCCGAACTCATTAGAGCTTTGGTTTTATTGTTATTCCTCGACTAGCCGACTTTAAAGAAAGTTTATCTTATCTCATTCTGAAAGTTGTATCAGTAAATATCAGAGATCAACAAAAGCTACGCTCTTTTAAGGATTTCCCTTTTCATATTACAAATATCAATAATCATAACACCGCAGGAAACCTTTCCCAATCAGATCGTGATGAAAACTTTGAACTTGTTTTAAATTGTCTTTATCGGCAGCATTTGCCGAAACCTTGAAAATTTGTCCTCCGGCATTCGATATATATCGACGAAAGCTGATATTTGGAGGAAGCTCGTGACTTGCCTTGTATTTTAACATGTACTTGTCCCTACAAGGAAAGCGGCCGAAGTAGAAGACTCTGTAATGTGTTTGATGTCAGGTTCGGACGAATAAAAACGGTGGATGTGGTAAAAGAAATCGTGAGATCGTGTTTATCATACTTCTAACAATTCAAGCAGTTAAGATAAGTGTAAGTCAATAACAAAGAAACAACACACGTCTGCGAGTGAAATATACAAATTCATTACATAAATTTATTCTTGTTTACATCATACATTTTTACATATAATATGATACATATGTTCACATTGTTGATACACAGCTGAAGCTCCTTCGTTTTGCATAGTTGTACTTTTACCCTTAAACATGCAGTATGTTGGACTTAAATCTCTCAATATTAGCGTCCTTCGGTGAATGTTGTGCAAGTGATCTTCAAAAATAACAAAGATATATATTACAATACATTGTTGTCTCAAAGCTTTTTATCGTCACCCAAGGGTTTGTAAATAACGATATTGCCGAACAGTAACTTTTGATGTATTTTTGTTAAAGTCCATTACCGAGTATTGTCTGTCATATTGGTAGTTAAACTATAAAAAATAGTTTTCCAGAAAATAATGGATGCTGGTAAAATAAAATGATTAGACAGCTGAATATGTACATATGTTAAAAAGTATTAAAATAAGATCTTTATCAACGATATAGTAGGTTGAACTTAACACACACAGGTGATTGCACGTGCAACTAATAACGAATCAATATACGAAGGAAGGAAGCACATGTTTGAAATTAAATCTGTTGATGCAAAAAGCAAAACGAAGATAAAAATTGGTACACCAATTATATACATAATTGTTGGGTTTTGTTTACAAGGAAATGATTTGTAGCTGCAGACACGTTCTTTATTTCTTTTATTGGACATCATAGTCATGTCGCCATTGATATGCAGTATTATAATGTGATACTTATCGAGTCTTAAACTGTTAAATTAAAAACAACATTTGAACAGCATTTCAATAAACATGTTTTAATACTAAAGCTAGCGTTAGAGTGCTAATGATCAGTTACATGTTTTAAGTTATACTGGATATTGACATTATAACATTTGAAGCACATGTAACACAATACAGCATGCTCGTATCTTACATACTGTAGATAAATCGTACATATTTATAGGAAGTCGGTGTATTATTTATAATATGGACCCTATGTACATAAGTAAGGTAATGGAATGTCATTCAGAGTCATAAATGATGATAAAGTTTATCACATGCATATATTCAATAAACTCGCAATTCCGAATAACAGCACCAGACAGTTGATAACTTGTTTGAACAGAACCACGTGATATATTCTCTGAAATATTATAAAGACAACGATGATACCCATGAAACTGTACAATTCTACAATATAGGAGACGGTAAGGTATTGTGACGTTGTTGTTTGTATTTATTGTCAAACTGTTTCGAAAGGGGTTATTATGTTTTTTTCTTACTTATTGTGTACTATGGTGTTTTTTTCAATATACATGTTGTTTCTGGCAGATTCTAAAAGTTTCTAACTTGAAATTGTTGATTCTTACAAATTCGAAGTATCAGAATTATTGATATTACTAAATTGAAAAAAACAAACACAGAATGAGGGGAACAATTATATATTCCTTCTCGAAGGTCGATTGCCTATTGGCAAAGCTTTATTCAATTAATTATGTGTTTACTATACATAACAATAATTACCGGCATCATACTATAACGGGACTTTGACATTCTAGAAACAACATGAGTATGAAATATATATTCGTATCAAATATGCAATGAAAGAATAATTAAATGAATGCAAAATTCATAAAAGTCACTTGAGGTATACCATTGTGTTTCAAATAAAATTCTACAAAAATAAACATTTTGTCATTCGTTTAAAATTTGAAAACAAAAAAGGTCTGATATTGATATGAATTAACTAACAGAAGAATTGAAGATAACACGCATACATGTATATAAGTAAATGTATAATTCATTTCGAAAACAATGAAGTGGTCATGTTTACATTTAATGAAATATCATTTGCAAAATGTATCCTGAATATATTCATATTACAATATAATAATATCATGTACAATGCAGCATGAAAATATTCACATTCATCCAGGAAATACAATGGTTTCTCTTGAAATAAAACACACCTTCGCAGCACTCCTGGAGTTTGTCATAACAAAATCGAACGCCCACAGTTAACGGTTTCAGGTAAAGAAAAACCTGACCAATCCATAAGCTTATGCCTGGCCATGGAAGATTACACCGGAGCTGTATCAAACTTAAAATCTTGTCAATTTTACCGTCACGCTGCCGAGCGGTTCCGTTGATCTTCATTGCACGTATCAGACTGGTGTCGCGTATGTAGTATTTGTTTTCTCATGCATTTTACAGGTGTAAAACATAGGAGCATATTAAAGTGTATCTAGAGCGGTACTCTTGGAGTTCGAGGATGACTCACATGATACTAACATAATTGTGTACAAGGGATATCAAAGATAACAAACTTTTAATTCATTGTATACAATGTATCATGGACATAATGAAAATTACAATGTAGTATCAATATGTGTTATAAATTGTGTTAATATTCCCATTACAATAGCAATGTAATATAACTGTGTAAGTGAATAATGGACACATTCACATAGCAGATGTAATGACATTATGCATAATGAAAATGATTGAATAACATAATTTGACATAGAAAGAAAAAATCAAATAAAGACTCCAATCACTGTACTCCTTTCTGGTTAGTATTTTTAAAATCACTAATAAGTTCGTTGTTGATGTGGTCTCAAAACATTTACCGCGTAAATACTGGATATATTTAATATTCCTGCTAATTGTTAATCTTGAAAACATTTTTTCTATCTAAACGACACGCACATTTTGGCAAATTGCAAATATTTGATAATGTTTTAACTAAAAATTGCGATGTTGATATCTAAATTGATATTTCAGTACTAAAATCATTGTTGGATCTAAATGGCACATATATATTGTCATCATCAATCATCAGTAAATTTTTAACATGAATACTTTAATCAATCAAGATACAATATTTACCAGACTCCACACTTCTTATTAGGGTTCATGTAACTGCCTTTAGGGCAGCTAAAGGCTTCAGCAAACTCGGGAGAATTTTGTAATGTTCCAATGACCCTGAAAGTGTAAAAGAAATTTGACTATTATGTGTGTAAGTAAACGAGCATGTAAAGTGAGAATGGAGCAACAACAGAAACTTATAAAGGAAATGAAACGACAACCAATCTGAATTGTTTTAATGAAAAGTCATATAGAACATGGTTGTATGGTTATCTCAAAAACTATATGATTTTAACCTGATACGTACTGATATTTTTGAGGTACTTAAAGCATCTCAGCAGCAGGTTCGACATTACTTTAGGTAACATTTGACATCTGATTACGTATATATATTTATCCTGATTAAGCGACCATTATAAGACATGTTTTTTTTAATCTATTTCGTATTTGATTTGTAATGCGAAAAATACAAAGATAATTACTAACATTAAGTAGTGTCAAACAAATACCAACTAGTACAAACTATATAATATTTAACAACTCATTTGTGTCATACATTCTATGCTTACATATGTACACTTTAAGGGTAATACATTTCACATTAAACCTTAAATGAGAGTGGTTACACACAGAGGTGTGACTGTAAGTGTCGAATACACGCAAAATAATTTCGATCATTAAAATTAAATCAATAAAGGCCAATCATTAGATTTATTTGACCGGAAGCTTCATGTCAGAGCAGACGTACCTAAATCGCCCGGGACTGTGTACTCCTGTGAGGATTCGATTGATGGCGTTTTCTCTGCGCATGCTAGCACACCAGATCTACAAACACATTTAAAAGCACATGGTCACAGTTATATTAAGTGCAGTTGTATTCTAACGGTTTCATATAATCAACATAAATGAATTTTAACCAAAATAATGATTCTTTATGACATGAATATGATGCACTAATTTTTCCTGAAATATGAGCAATAAAACAATTTAGTCACGTTTTAATAGTTTTGAAATCATCAATAAAAACTATGATGTAATATCATATATTGACAAAGTGGCAAGTAATTGCCTGCGTCCATCATGTATCCTATTAAATCCTATTAAATGAATACGAGTTGTCTCCCTGTAGCTAGTAGGCACAAGGTTTATACATTATACAATTTTTATTTACACCAGCAATGAAGGAATACATTTAAATTCAAATAATATGTAGAAGCTTAATAATGTAATAAAACAAGTTAAATTTTATGCATCGTACAGTTCTTATTGATACAAAAGATGAATGAATTATAGGAATCAACGATTCGAATTCGTGTAACCTTTTCGTGTGATCAACTAATTGTTACTCAAAACGACAACGAGAAGGGCTAAATAAGTTAACACTATACACGGAATGATGACAGAGTTAAGTAGAGAAAACATGACAAATTTGTTTTGAAAATACTTCTGCACTTCATACATATGAATACATGCCCTGGGCAATTGTGAAACACTTATCAAGGTATTTAACAAACTCGTAAGCACTTTTCAAATTGTTACTTTAAACAACGACATAAAAGTCAGTGTCATTAACAATATAATACATAACACAATCTCATAATAATCCTTCATGTAGTTCATATCGTTAATAGCCAAACTAGCACTATGTTGATATTTACAAAAGCCATTGCAAAACTATATTTAACTTTGTTTTTGTGACATTTATGTTGATGAAAAACAGTGTTGTTTCAGTAAATTGACTATTTTACATTAGTATATGCTTGCAAATTTCTCGCAATCACATTGGCCGGATCCCATACACGTGACTATTCCTTAAAAAACTCATGTAGACTGGTTATCCGGTGAATATCGATTATTAAATATAGCCTTTATGGAAATTCTCTGGAACCTTTCGTAGCGCATGATATATTGATGTTCATATATAATGTTTGTTAAAGTGAATGACTTTGACTTATATTCAAAGTCACAGGGGTCAAATTTGTTTAAAATCTTTAAACAACCTCTTATGAATAACCATGGGTCCCAGGATGTTTATACTTTGCAAGTTGCATCCTGAGATGAAAGGCTATACAATGTGTTCAACATAATAACATTGTTCGACTTTCAATCACAGGGGTGAAATGTTTTTAAAAAAAAATTAACAGGGTCTTTTGAACGAATTTTAATCATAAATACTGATATTTTGCCTGTAGCTTTATTTTAGATCACTTTTAAGGTTACAAGTGTGAGTTTTATACCAGGTGAGAGATGCAGGCCCATTGGGCCTCTTGTTTAATATAGCCTTTATGAAAATTCCCTGGAACCTTTCGTAGCGCATGATATATTGATGTTCATATATAAGAGTGTCTGATATGTGAACAACTACTGTGATGCTGATTTACTGACCTGTGCGAAGTTGATGAAGCTACTACTGTGATGCTGATTTACTGACCTGTGCCACGTTGACGAAGCTATTACTGTGATGCTGATTTACTGACCTGTGCGACGTTGATGGAGCTACTATTGTGATGCTGATTTACTGACCTGTGCGACGTTGATGAAGCTACTACTGTGATGCTGATTTACTGACCTGTGCGATGTCGATAAAGCTAATACTGTGATGGTGATTTACTGACCTGTGCGAAGTTGATGAAGCTACTACTGTGATGCTGATTTACTGACCTGTGCGAAGTTGATGAAGCTACTACTGTGATGCTGATTTACTGACCTGTGCGAAGTTGATGAAGCTACTACTGTGATGCTGATTTACTGACCTGTGCGAAGTTGATGAAGCTACTACTGTGATGCTGATTTACTGACCTGTGCGAAGTTGATGAAGCTACTACTGTGATGCTGATTTACTGACCTGTGCGAAGTTGATGAAGCTACTACTGTGATGCTGATTTACTGACCTGTGCGAAGTTGATGAAGCTACTACTGTGATGCTGATTTACTGACCTGTGCGAAGTTGATGAAGCTACTACTGTGATGCTGATTTACTGACCTGTGCGAAGTTGATGAAGCTACTACTGTGATGCTGATTTACTGACCTGTGCGAAGTTGATGAAGCTACTACTGTGATGCTGATTTACTGACCTGTGCGAAGTTGATGAAGCTACTACTGTGATGCTGATTTACTGACCTGTGCGAAGTTGATGAAGCTACTACTGTGATGCTGATTTACTGACCTGTGCGAAGTTGATGAAGCTACTACTGTGATGCTGATTTACTGACCTGTGCGAAGTTGATGAAGCTACTACTGTGATGCTGATTTACTGACCTGTGCGAAGTTGATGAAGCTACTACTGTGATGCTGATTTACTGACCTGTGCGAAGTTGATGAAGCTACTACTGTGATGCTGATTTACTGACCTGTGCGAAGTTGATGAAGCTACTACTGTGATGCTGATTTACTGACCTGTGCGAAGTTGATGAAGCTACTACTGTGATGCTGATTTACTGACCTGTGCGAAGTTGATGAAGCTACTACTGTGATGCTGATTTACTGACCTGTGCGAAGTTGATGAAGCTACTACTGTGATGCTGATTTACTGACCTGTGCGAAGTTGATGAAGCTACTACTGTGATGCTGATTTACTGACCTGTGCGAAGTTGATGAAGCTACTACTGTGATGCTGATTTACTGACCTGTGCGAAGTTGATGAAGCTACTACTGTGATGCTGATTTACTGACCTGTGCGAAGTTGATGAAGCTACTACTGTGATGCTGATTTACTGACCTGTGCGAAGTTGATGAAGCTACTACTGTGATGCTGATTTACTGACCTGTGCGAAGTTGATGAAGCTACTACTGTGATGCTGATTTACTGACCTGTGCGAAGTTGATGAAGCTACTACTGTGATGCTGATTTACTGACCTGTGCGAAGTTGATGAAGCTACTACTGTGATGCTGATTTACTGACCTGTGCGAAGTTGATGAAGCTACTACTGTGATGCTGATTTACTGACCTGTGCGAAGTTGATGAAGCTACTACTGTGATGCTGATTTACTGACCTGTGCGAAGTTGATGAAGCTACTACTGTGATGCTGATTTACTGACCTGTGCGAAGTTGATGAAGCTACTACTGTGATGCTGATTTACTGACCTGTGCGAAGTTGATGAAGCTACTACTGTGATGCTGATTTACTGACCTGTGCGAAGTTGATGAAGCTACTACTGTGATGCTGATTTACTGACCTGTGCGAAGTTGATGAAGCTACTACTGTGATGCTGATTTACTGACCTGTGCGAAGTTGATGAAGCTACTACTGTGATGCTGATTTACTGACCTGTGCGAAGTTGATGAAGCTACTACTGTGATGCTGATTTACTGACCTGTGCGACGTTGATGAAGCTACTACTGTGATGCTGATTTACAGACCTGTGAAAAGTTGATGAAGCTAATACTGTGATGCTGATTTACTGACCTGTGCGAAGTTGATGAAGCTACTATTGTGATGATGATTTACTGACCTGTGCGACGTTGATGAAGCTACTATTGCGATGCTGATTTACTGACCTGTGCGACGTTGATGAATCTACTACTGTGATGCTGATTTACAGACCTGTGAAAAGTTGATGAAGCTACTAGTGTGATGCTGATTTACTGACCTGTGAAAAGTTGATGAAGCTACTATTGTGATGATGATTTACTGACCTGTGCGACGTTGATGAAGCTACTACTGTGATGGGGATTTACTGACCTGTGCGAAATTGATGAATCTACTTCTGTGAAGCTTACTGACCTGTGTAAAGTTGATGAAGCTAATACTGAGAGGCTGATTTACTGACCTGTGCGAAGTTGATGAAGCTACTACATGTACTGTGATGGTGATTTACTGACCTGTGCGAAGTTGATGAATCTACTACAGTGATGTTGATATACTGACCTGTGCGAAGTTGATGAAGCTACTACAGTAATGCTGATTTACTGACCTGTGCAATGTCGACAAAGCTAATACTGTGATGCTAAGCTACTATTGTGATGAAAGTTGATGAATCTACTACAGTGATGTTGATATACTGACCCTGTGATGCTGATTTACTGACCTGTGCCACGTTGACGAAGCTATTACTGTGATGCTGATTTACTGATCTGTGCGAAGTTGATGAAGAACAGCTGATTATGGTTGTAACTGACACCGGGCAGTTGTGCTTCTTCCCGCCCTCTCTGCTTGATCCAGTCACGGTAGGCCTTTTTTTGTTAAACAGAACACATTAATTTAATTCTGTTCTAATAATAATTGTATTCTAACACATAACACTTCTACCGCATTACAACATATTTCATTATAAAATTATGTTACAATATATTTTCCTTATACAGTTATCCCCCATTCGATATGTTTTCATTATACAATTCACATCATTACAATATAGATTCATTATACAATTCTCATCATTACAATATAAATTCATTATACTATTCTCTTCATTGCGATATAGATTCATTATACAATTCACATCATTACAATATAGATTCATTATACAATTCTCATCATTACAATATAGATTCATTATACTATTATCTTCATTACGATATAGATTCATTATACAGTTCTCATCATTACAATATAGATTCATTATACAATTCTCATCATTACAATAAAGATTCATTATACAATTATCATCATTACAATAAAGATTCATTATACAATTCTCATCATTACAACATAGATTCATTATACAATTCTCATCATTACAATAAAGATTCATTATACAATTCTCTTCATTGCGATATAGATTCATTATACAATTCTCATCATTACAATATAGATTCATTATACAATTCTCATCATTACAATATAGATTATTCATTATACAATTCTCATCATTACAATATAGATTCATTATACAATTCTCATCATTACAATATTGATTCATTATACAATTCTCATCATTACAATATATTTCCCTTATACAGTTCTCCCCCATTCGATATGTCTTCATATTCGCATATTGTTTAAAGCAATGGACTATTTTTTCAGTGGCAACCGTGGTAGTATCATTTTGGTTTCAACACATTTTATTGTATTTACAAAGGATTAGACAACAGGCAGTGCCTATATTAGTCTCCTGGAACTAGTATGTAGTATCATTCAATGAGCTATACATACGTATCCTACAAAGGGGGCCTCATGAAGAATATATGAAGTCATAACCAAACACTCGTGGTATATAACCTCTGTATTGAATCAAAGGCCACATAGTGTGCATGCTATATATGCAATCAAAGAACAGCATTAACTAATTTCGTCAACGTTACATGTACGATGTTGTTTTGCTCTATTACATTATTGTAGTAGTTAGTTAACTGATATACAGCATAAGGTATGGTAATGTTTATCATACAATTAACTATTGCGATGACACATAGCCGATGTATAACCAATCGACATCATATACCAGTAGTGGTAAAATACTATTCAATAATTAAACCACGAAGAAGTAATTAATTTAACATTTGAGTTGTTAATTATATTGCAATTACAATAAGTTTCTTGGTCAATACATCATTTCTTCCAAACTCCGTTGAATTGATCATTATTCTGATACGAGGTTTATCTAAAAAGAGGTGTTCTTCATAATTTCTCTCTTTACTTACTCGGTTTCAAAACCCTATTTAATTAATCGCTATACTAATACAATCTATCTGAATCAAAGTGTTTTTTAGAATTTTACTTACTCTGTAGCTCTGTTTCAGGCCACCATTATCTGCAATGTTCTCCCCTTGTGTGTTGATGCCATTTAGCTGAAAAAGAAATGATTGATCTTAACTGAAGTAACGGATACGTGTATACACGATTACTCCCATCTTAACACTTTCTGAAATACTTATGCAATTTTTGGTTGCAATCGAATTTGATTAAATCCGTCACCAGTTTTAGGAACAAAAATAACTTTCTGTAAAACACAAATTGTGTAATTCATTAATTCTAATATCCAGACTTGTCGGATGGGAGCATAGATAGCTAAGCTATTTCTTAAACCCTGTAATTCCTTAACGTAGAGCGACACAGCACGTGCCTTTATAAGCTTCTTAAACAAGTCAGGTCTCCTGCAATCATGACGATTACTGTTTCTGGCTTTTTTCTGTTTTCTTGTTGTTTTTTTTGTTTTGTTTTTTGTTTACTTTTTTTGTGTCTTTATTATTATTTTAATTGAAATTTCAGAGAGTTTAAGCAAGAACCATATAATGGTGCTGATTTGTAACAAGTCATACTAATTAGGTGTTAGTTTATTTAATAGTTCGACAATATTGATATTTACATCATGCACCATTCGTATACCAATGTAACATATTTAACGTAACAAAATATCACTCTAAACCAGTTTTGATTTCACGTTAATTGTTCTTCAGTCTTTTATATCACGTGAAAATAAAGCCCATTTATATTTCTGACGGTAAAAACGTTGATCCCTAATCAAGCCAAGTAAAGGCGGCTCTTTATTGAATAATCTAACTGTCCAATGTCAATCGCTGATAACTTACGTTCATTCCGTCCGCCTCTGGAAGCGAGAAGTTACCGTACTGATTAATGATACATTGAGCTTTGGCCTTAAACCTTGTGATAGCGTCGTCTGACCACCATTGTTCCAAGTTACCGTCCTTGTCGTACTGACGGCCTGTTTATAAAAAAAACACGTCGGGATTAGTTTTTGTAAATTTGTAGATCATGCACAAGAAACGAGAACCGGTATTAAATGCATTTGTTCATGGGAAGGTCACAAAAGAGTTCTGCGATAATCGAGATAAAATCCGCTGGGTTGATCAGCTCCGAATATAAGATCTATCTTAGATTACATCAAACACTAAAATTACAAATATTTGCTCACTGGATATACATGCTTTTATTCATAAAACATTTCCAACGATACAGTACTCATAGGTAAACATGAAGGAGGACGAATAAGCCAAGGATCGCTGTTTAACACTTATCAAACTATCATTTGAAAATGTATAGAAAACTTGAATGTACTCAGATCCTTTAAACTTACAGATTATTACCACATAAAAGTACTCAAGAGACACAAATTAAAAGCACATATATATACACTTGTACAGCACTATAGCTTCTACACAGCTGAAGGAATATTGCATTGTTTTTTACCTTTCAATTATAAACTAAAATGTTTGTATGCATTATAATACCTCTATCATCAAATCCGTGTGTGATTTCATGTCCAATGACCACGCCTATTCCGCCGTAATTCATCGACCTGTAAACAAACACATTAGTTACTTCTATATTATAAATTGCATTCAGGAAAAACATACACGTTTACAGAAAGGCTAATTAACCTTCGTCTAATATATGGTATTTAAAAATAAGTGTGACCACATTTTGATAACAAAGTCCATACAAAACTAGTTTCACGCTCAGAACCTTGTAAAAGATGTTAAGTCTTCACAGCAGCTAAGGTAAAAATGTAAATTGTGTTCGGGGATGATTAAATAAATTACAGGGCCATTTAAAATCGGCAGTTCACTAAAATGTTATTACTTGACATGAGAGCATGGAACTCCGTTTATATCATACAAAGTACCGGCTTAGCAGTCCTTTCAACCCCACAATCAAAGCAGAACGTGAAGTAAAGAGCAGTTCGTAATATTTTTAGGACTTTGGTTGGACACAATCCATAACCTTCCCCGTTTGTTCAAACAAGTCCAAAAACCGAGGTTTTATTAAGTAAGGCGTATGAAAACAAAAATGTATGTTGAGAGAAGATAAGAAGTTAACTTGACTGTCGGACAATGATAAAATTGAACTTTACGACAATAATTAACATATCTGTAAGACAAAAAAAACACTAATAAGACATTGATTAATGTGTATAATGTTTTTTTAAGACAATCATGATCAATTGTCGATAAGACACAGTTTTCTCTGTCTGTAAGACAAAAACAAGCTCGCGTGTGTGAGGCACTCATTAACGCATTTGTAAGACCATCATTATCTCGTCTTTTATCGTAACTTGGCGTCATTCTGTATATCAAATCAATACTACAATTTGTAACGTTTACATAATAACTTAAATACACTGTCCCCTTAAATCATATACTTAGAAAACACGATTAGTATCTTAATGTAATGATGTTGAGCGACGTTATGGCCATCATGTGATCATCTGATTTCATGAGATTTGTTTACCTTTCTTGTTTATAGTGTAGACGACAAACGCACGAAATTAATCCGATAAACCAAATAAAAATAACCCTTTCGATGTAAAAAATGTCAATAAGATATAGACGATTCTTTAGTATGGCTCTCTGTAATGTGTTTGATATCAATACAACACTCATTACATAGAACATGCGCAGGACGATTTTTGTTCATTAAATACGAAAACACTGGTAATGCACTTGCTTATGTGTTATCAGGTACTCCCGGTGCTAATGATTGGTTAAATCTAACACATAAGGCTACATGCTGTCTGAAACTGAAAGTACGATATAGAACACGCAAGTCAATTAAATTAAGTTGGAAAAACAGATTAAGGATACATGTAATATGTTTGTTGTATATTTTCTTCCTTAATTCAAGCAGAATGTTGTATCCTATAAATACGCATTTACATTAGTTAGCAATATCAGTAATTTTGATAATATCGCAGATAGGACAAAAATGTGTTAATTTGTTATTACGATAAGCAGACTTTCACCTCGTCTAGTATCGCGGTAAATGATTAGCTCTCACGTCATTGGTCGCTTTATCTTTGACCTGACATCGTCATACAGTAACAGTTTATGCATGGTTGATACGCCCCCGTATTACCTGATTTCCTGCTAACTCCAGTCAATTAGAATGAGATAAAATTGATAAATACTTGTGATTGTGATGGCCGTATTATAGTGGAGCTATCAACAAACGTGTTATACTGTGTTCTATGAACATAGCCTGTCCACTCGATTAACCTACTAAACGGGAATAGTACTTAAACTTCCACGACTACAACAATGTCACTATTGTGTCGATTTGCGTTGCAATCGTAAACAGAATCGCATCGGCTTAGTGAATAAACTTTTTGAGTATTTTGACGTCAATTGTTCACTGTGAATATGTATGCAACCAACTGCAGACCATGTCAGTATGATAATTAGAAATATAATCATACAACATAAATTCTTATTAATGCTGGACAACGTGATTGGACGATAATTTACTATAATTTGACTAAGTCGAATACTATGACATTAATTACAAAACAAGTAGTAGCTTAAGAAACAGATATAATGAAACATTTTTTTTCTTTTATATGTTGTATTATTTATTGATGTAGTTAATTTTTAAATATATTCCAAACAAATGTCAGTTGAAAAACCAAACGGATTACAAGTTGTATTTCAGAAAATATGCTATAGATCATAAAACAGTATACAGACTTCCACGCCATCTAATGAGTGTTGGTTTAAAAAACTATTTTTATATACTTTAATGTTAAATTCAAAACAAGAAAAACAAAAGTATAAATATGTAGAGAGCAAACATGTGCTATATCTAATAGAAATGTTATCAGAAATAGCTCACATACTTTGGCTGAGATTTCCCGTAAAATGGCGGTTGCAGGATACCAGCTGGAAACACTGATAAAGAGAGAAAGACAGTGCGTTAACGACTTGTAGTTGGTGCCGACTTGTAGCCAGTAACGACGTGTAGCCTGTCTCAACGTCGTAATAATCACCTTCGCCTCCGATAACATTGGTATTTATGAGATTTCTATAATCAAAACATGTACATATCCCCATAAAACATAATTGAAACATTTTTTGCTGCTTTACTTGAATTCAATATTGTCTACGTGGTTGTTTTGAAATGTTTTGTTAAATAATAAGTCTCAATATGTGATTATATCAAATATTTGACATGCAAAGTGGTTTCGAGATTGGAATATTTTTATATAAACATGCATGACCTTGTCTTACTTGAGACTACAGCTGGTCGTGGTGACCTAAACTAACTTCAAACTATATTATAGACTACTGATTGTGGTAACACGGCTGGTCGAAGTGACTTACATGCTTCAGCTGCTGAAGCGAGGAAGTCTTAGTCGTACCAACATGTTATCACATTATTGTTGATGCGAATTAAACAATATGCTGTATTGTTTGTATATTATTATCGCTTATATTTATTGTAGACAAGACATTGTTTGTTTTAGTTGTCACACTTTCGGGCAAAATTACAATGATTGAAAATATACGGAATCAGGTTCTTTTCAAAATATTGCATTTACTGGTGACGTATTTCAATAGATTAAAACCTCCGAAAGCAGTGGTTAATTACAAGAGATATATACTTACTAATTCTGTTTAAGACTGAGTTGTAATACGCGTTTACTGTAGCAGGGGCTGTTGTCCACCTGTCCAAGAGAGCCACAATATAACAATGACACAAGACAAGAAATCATTTCTCAATGATCTGATTGCTAATGTAACGCCATGCTCCGTATCGGTTAAGGATCCTCGTACCACTGCCAAACACTGGAACATGGCATGACGTAAGCTTTGCTCAGTTCATTCTGAACAAAAAACAAACCTAACGGGACTTTTATAAACAATAGAGTTAAATAACAAAATATGATCAACAACAGTGTTTTGAGTGTACAAATATGGGAGGTGCTTAACAAGGAATAAAACACAGGACATTAAATTGTTTTTATGCTGTTACTTTAACCCAGGAGCTACTCAGTCCTGTCTAAACTGTGCTACAGTAATTTCCAAAACGAATTTAATATGAGGTCACTTTTAATGCCAAACCCGGATTGCAGTGAGACAGGGATCCTTAAGATCTATATTTGACATTGATATATGTGGTATTTAAATCTATGGAAGCGTCACCACATTTAAATAATTCTTTAGGCATATAATTTATGTTTTGTATGCATACAAATAATTCAGTAAATTGGAAAATAGATATTTCATTAGATCTTAACTTGTAATATTATATAACATATACTATTGTTATATTATATAACGGATGGTTAACACTCCGGCCTTCCATGCAGGGGGCCGGGGTTCGATCCCCGAAGTCGTCGAACGCATGGAATATTCAGAGAAAGTGTTTTTCTCATGCCCCAACAACTCTAACAACCCAGGTGGAGTATAAAATGGTCTGGGGTGGATGTGGCACTATAAATGATACCGTTGACAGCACGGTCCCACTACAAACAGAACACAATATATCTCCAGCACACACTCATGCATACACATATAGGGAGATGTTAACAAGGTGGCATAGAACTAGTAGCTAGCGCCTGATAAAGCAGCTCCTGCGAATTCCTCAAAATTTTATTGATTGATGCATATACTGATTGAATTATATATCTATTTACTGTAAAGCGCTTTAGAGTGGCTTATGCTAGCTAGATAGGGCGCTATACCAAATTTTGTATATTAAATGTTGTATATTAAGTAATTGACATCGTTCAAATATGTAACAGTCTTCTTTTAGAACGTCTTTCAATTGATGCCGTTACTCATAAAAACACAGGTTATACTCACCAAGTTTTGTCGACTACCGTGCGTAACTGTCTGACAGTGTCGATGGATATTCTGTTGATAATTCCCAAAACGTTCTCAAAGTACTTTTCAGGCTGAATTGTGTACTGGTGGACAATAATAAACAATGTATTGTTAGTATCTGTCTGATATATGTTACTGTTAATTATCTATCTTCAGCAACGGACATATTTGTTAATTTGAAAGGCAAATGATAACCGAATACGTGTAAAAGATGTGTAATATCTTTAACATTTTACTGTATTGACATTTCAATAGCTAAAGGTATATGAGTTGTTCACGATGTGGCAGTAAAATTGAATTGTGATTATACCCGCAAATGTGTATGCTTTCATTTATGTCTTATATCATTGTTGGTGTAACAGTTATGCTGCTGAAAACCAAATGCATTTAGTCAGCTATGCTAGTTCAAGCACGGATGCTGTCATCTCGGTATGACATATTGTTCCTTATTTTAAATCAACCATTTGCCTCACGATCAAACCACTATTGTTTTTACTACTTTGCAACAAATATTTTTTCTCTTCTCCTATATGTATACCCTTTTTAGTGCTTTTAGTACAAAGTATTTAAGGAATTATTGGAACAAGGGTTGGTAATACCAATATTTACTACCAAGTCTCGGACTGCCTGTACACAAATATTAGCCACGTCACGTCCATTGAGTTATTTTATTTAATGGAATAATGTACTTGTTGAAGGCAATTATTAAATATATGCACAAAATGTCGAAGGAATGTTAATTGTTCATATATATACCATTCAGCTTATACATCACTGTATATATTTATCTGTTGTCAGATATCTGGTACACAAATCGACGTTTATACTTACATTGATGTAGAGTTTGTTGAGTTCTTTCTCATTTAGTAGTATCTCCTGGTAGCCAATTTTCTGTTTGATGGCATTTGCCTGTGAATCAGAGGGTGTCTATTGACGCTGTGTTGATAATATACTTGTATGTAACGTATAAACGATGCAATAAAAGTATATAGGAGAAGGTGAGAATGGGTGCAAACCATATCATATTAATAGTCTAGATATATTGACTATATTTTACGTAAAGTATTTAGGTCATTTAAGATAAGATTTTTTTTAAAATTAATGATATTCCTACTAACCTGTGAATATCCCATGCCAAACTAAATTGAATCAACAGAAAATGCTAAAAAGTCGACGCAAATCAACAGAAACTGTGACGCTAAATTAAACGATCATACATTTATCGAAAATGCTGGAAACAAATACAAAGTTAAATATTGTTGTTTCCAAGTTTGATTTAGAGAGAAGGACGCTGAAGCTATGCAAATCAACAGCTGATACATATGTAATAGTGGTGTAAATAACAACAACCTTTTCTTTTGCCAAATTCCTGGTGGCATCGTCCATCCAGTCGTTTCCTCCTACAAGCTCGTTGAAGGCTATCTTGAGTCGCCTTATCAGTTCTTCCGTCTGCAAAGAATAACGTAGTTCAACACATACATACACTTATGTAACATCGATAGAACATTGGCGTGTAGTGTCATTTCCAAGCTAGAACAATATGATTATCGGTTTGATACATTTAATAATCTATGTATTGCATGTGAGTTTACGTTCATACAACTGTACTTAAAATGCGCGTTAGTTTAGAATATTTAAATTCGATGTTTCAATAATATTTTCACGTTGCCTTGAATTAAAACATCAATAAAATATAAACGTAGCTCCCCCCCACACACATGTAATAACACCATTATAATTGGTCAATAGATACAGTATGACACAAATGAATGACAGACAAGATTTATTTATTAGCTGAATTACTCTAAAGCCTAACAATCTCAATAAACAGTGTTCAATACTTTTTCACAGGAACAACAATTTATGTTCTATATTCAGTAATAAAAAATTACAAAGAATATATTTTGTGCTGGTAGTTAACGATATCAAAGGGTCTTCTTTTTCTATAAAAATCACTGATATAACTATTTAGTCTTTTTGTACTTTCATTGTACCTGCTGGTCGATCGTTATCGATATCGCAACCCAAGCAGACATACCCAATAATATGGCAGAAACACTCGCCCCAGAATGATACAGATGTATTCGTCTTTAGTGAAAAAACTTACTCGTCACTAAAAGTAAAATCATATTCGTCTCTTATGACAAAACGGATTAACTCGTCCCTAATGATGAACATGTCTTTACATGACGACACATCTAGATAAAACAAACACACTTGTCCCTAATGATTGAGATGCTTACGCATTCCTTACATCTTTCTTGGACTCTTCGTCAAATGCTTCTTTCACAAAAAGTCTCCCCAGGGCCAAGCCAAGGTTGGAGTTGATGTAGGAGGAACAAGTACGCCACCTTGCACGTGGAACAGCAGTTCCATATAATACCTGAAATTTTCAGTTACTCATTTATATTTTAATTCCCAGTGTAACCAACTATATGAACATTGACATTGACAGCTATTGAGGATGAAAGCAAAAGCAAGCTTTTAATACTCATATCAAATTATATTAGAACATTTAGTTCCAAAACACATTTTCCAATGAAGATCCTTCAAATTACTAATTCTATAGAAATTAGGATGAAAATTATAGTAATGTTGATGATCACTCATTATATTTTAATACGAATGGAAAAATAAACAAGTAATTGCGAAGGAAAGTATTGAATCAAATAAGAATGATCCAAGACCGATCGCTAGGCCTTTCTGTCTTCTTGGACTTCCGCCTGAAGAAGCCAAATAAGGCAGAAAGGCTCAGTGGTCGGTCTCTGATAATTATCATTATATTATCAGATGTAGATAAACGTACCTTGTTATATTTAGTTATCAGGTCCTGGTATGATTCGTCAAGGTTGTATATTCTATTCTTCATTATTCTCCACAGGGCGTAGTTGGCCACAGCCCTGAAAACAATCAATTAATCAGGACATTTGTAGTATATTGACACTTTGTATACATTTTAAGCCGTTGTTTTGGATATATTGTTTCTTTCTTCATTTCGTCGTTCTATTAAAATATCAAAGACATGGTTTACCTCTTTCCGTGTTTCTGTAGGATGCCAAAGAGCTTTTCGAAGAAAGGCACTGCCCGAACTATAATTGGTTCACTGTCGTTCACTGTGATGTTGACTCCCTCCATCATCATGATCCCGGTTATGTAATCATCCCATTTAAACTTCACCTATGGAATACAGTTGAACAACTTGCTAATTAATAAAGATACAAACACTACAACTCTAAGGAACTATTAACAAATACAATGTAACGAATAAGGTAGCATGTCACGTTTACTCTAACACAAATAGCAGTAGGAATGTATACAGTGTTAAGGTTTGTATATAGTCCGTGCTCTATATCAATCTACCGGTATTATATGCCTTAAAAACTCTAAAGAACCCTCTTAAAGAAACAATGAGTAGAATGTGTGTAGCATAAATCCTCAATTGATATGTAAATTGAGGTACAATGTGAAAGATAGCGTACATCGTTCAGCATTATGCAAATCAGAAGCAAAATATTTGTTATAGACAGATAGTACAGCAAGTATCCTGTACTCACATCTGCAGGTTCCGTAAAATTTTCTGAAAGTTGAGATAACGGCATTCTGTTATATAGAACATTGCTGTCCCGTCTATCCTCGGCTGCCATGGATATCTGGAATAAACAGAGCCGTTGATATGTCGATGTTATTTACTCGGAACAAACACATCGGTATTAAATACGCTTAATAAACAAAACATAAATCAGCGCATTTAAAAATAATCCATTGGATGAGGATAATATGATATGGAATACAAACAAAACAGTGTTACAAATAACTGAATTTAATATATTGTAGTACTGAAAAAATAGTTCGATCTATTCAAAAACATTACACAGGTACCAAAGTAAGTTTGGCAACATTAAATATTGCTGAATGAAAATAAGTTATTCCGGAATCAATTGCTATAATTGATTAAATGAAATGCCTAATTCATGTAGTAAAATTGCTCGTCATTTAATCTTTTATTATTTTTTTTATCTGCAGTGAATAATTTACATAACAATCTAACGCAGGCGCCAGAACAATCAAGAAAGAGGTAGATTTAATTTGAATTATCAGTAATAAGGACGAAACTCTGATATCATTGTTAAAGATAGCTGACAGTGAGACTTTGGCAATGTTCTGGAAACATACATAACAACGAAGTACAATATTAGAACAGCTTGTTTCATAACTGTAACAAATTTTTACAATATAAAGAAGCAGTGTGATAACACACTGTAACTGCCTTCAAGATAATTCGTTCATCACCTTTGACCTTGAATGTTAATCATTGATAAAAAACGAACCAAAGTGACCACGCGCAATGTGATTGTTGGTCTCTACGAACTCGTCACAATCGGGGTTATATTTAATTTTGCAATTGGCACCGAAGAAAATGGATTTATTGTGGAATGAGATAAATTTTGGGAAGTCCAAATGTTACGGACAAAGCGGCAACCAAAACGATTCGTCGACTTATCGTGTTAAAAATATTTCTGTTAATCTATTTTTGGTAAACCCTTTGTCTTCTGTCACATTTGATAATCAATCAATTCAACTCAATAGTCAATTGTTACTGTTACGTTGCCTCTATTTCACTATTTATAGACTATAAGTCTAATTAACTGGTGTATATATTAACAAAAAGACGATTTAATGTGTACACACAAGCTACATAAAAAGTGATTATCAAAATTCTAACTTACATTTGCAATATCAAATTCAAAATCGACCATTGCTTTTGTATCATCGGTTGCTGTCTGTTCGGTAGCACCAAACGCCATCATGACTGATTTAGCTAGTTCCTCGTAAGCCTTCACCATGACGTCATCGCGCCCTTTCTGGTAGTACTTTTGTCCTGGCATTCCAAACCCGGGCTGGTCCACCTGTAATGATATCGTAACGATATCCGATACAACAGGTAACCATTGGACACATGTCGATTGAATTTTTATCGTATGTTTATGGTTTCTAGGAACGAAAATACATGTCTTTTATTTGATATGTACCACAGCTGGTTACATTAGCTAGTATTTAAAAAGACTGGAACAATTCATGAAGAAAAGGTTTGTCGGAGTTTTCAATGACTGTACTGTATTGTACTTTACTGCATATATACTTCGAAATTTCAAATGTATTTTCAGAAGTCGCCATGACAGTGAAATTCGGTATATTTTTACATAAACGATCCTGTCGATGACAATTTCACGGATGGCCTTGCCAATGAAGTTCCGAGTGTATTTCATAAATGATCCTGACGGTGGAGTTCCGAGTGTACTTACATAAATACTCCTGACGGTGAAGTTCAAAGTGGACTTACATGAATAATCCTGATGGTGGAGTTCCGAGTGAACTTACATAAATGATCCTGACGGTGGAGTTCCGAGTGTACTTAAATAAATGACTCTGATGGTGGAGTTGCGAGTGTACTTACATAAATGACCCTGACGGTGGAGTTCTTCACGTCCGTATACACGTACATCTCTATCAGTGGCTTGTTGTTATACTTAATGAGTTTAACCATTAACTGGGTTAGGTCGTATTCACTCTCATTCCAGTTACCGCCAGGTTTCGAACCCAGTACCGGCCAACCGCCAAGTTCGTTCAACATCGGAAACGCTACCGAAATGTTTCGTTGTTCAATAAGATCTATAAAAAATAGTGAGAAATATGATTTAAGCCTCATTCAACGTTTTTATAAACACAATGAAAATATTCCAGATTACGTTTTCATTACAAGTTTTCTTTATAAGAAACTATTTCTGTTAATTGTCACGTTCTGAAAAATGTTTTGCTGAACTGTTTGTTGCACTCAATGAATTGTAAAATGAAAGCAAAATGAAGTTTTCCAATATCTAAATAATGACGTAAATATAGAGAAAATCGGGTTCCGACATAGATTACATAAGCCCCGCTTTTTATTTGGCTAACTAAGTTATCGTGGAAGCTCTCCGGAATGAGCCAATGTTACTATGGGCGTAATGCGAGATTTCCTCTTTTTTATTTGATCGCTAACTACGGATGTATGAAAACAGTTTATTTTTAAATAAGGTAATTCATCACATGTATCATTAGTGATAATTGTTGAGAAATAGATATGGATCTTCTTCACCAAGTCTCGTACGTTACAAGGTAAGATATTTTAATGATAATCAAATGTGAAATATAATCATACATGTTTAAAGACTCTTATTTACCACACCAGCACAGACACGTGGCGCATTGTGTTAATGTTAGTAAGGAGAACAAACCTTAAACATACTGCACCAGACACACGTGTACATGTGCTTCAGTGTAATACCACCCTCACACTTTTAATTACATTCGATACGCGCGTGTCTTAACAAAACAGTAAAATAGTATTTGTTAAACTTTTAAATTAATTTACAGGTCACTGGAATTAACATAACTCACGTCAAATATATGATCTAATTGTATACATAGATATTGTTGAAATATGACTTGATGTTTAAACGTATTTGTATGATCAATCTGTTGGCGATATACCTGGCCTTCCACATCTGTCACTTCTAACATGATTAATTACGTATATCAGGCATGTCTCCACATATTTTATGTTTGTCATCATGAACAAGACATGCTTTTCTAATTAGAAAATGATATTCATAACTATTTACAGTATGCCTTGTGTGATAGATGACGAGTTATATAATATTCTGAAAATTAAAATGTCAATAGTCACCCTCATGATATGTCTAAACGTCAAATGATCCAAAATAACATCCTACCATACTATCGGGCAAATAGATTTGAGATTTCAAACGCTAAAATGGTGTATGTTATATATGTCATTTCAATATAAAATTAATAACTAATATAAAGAAGAAGACGACCATGCTAATCCTGTTCATGAACTGTTAACAGCAGTTTAATTTAAAGTTTGATGTCTCCGTATATTATGTGTGATCTTAGAAAGAAATACAAATAAAATGTTACTAGTACATAGATGAGTTAAAGTGACAGACATCCTATTGATCGCTGCCTCCAAATCCTATACGCTGCATAACACGTAAGTATCCCTATATATTACACACCCAGTGACTTATTATTACTTAGTTATTCTGCATGTATTACATATCTGCCTCTATCGTCAGATCATACTTCATAACTAATAACGATGTGAAGCAATGCCGTACCTAGATAGTATACACCACGTGATTAACGCTGTCATCTAGATCTTATACTACGCGTGAGTTACTCGAATCCATTTGACATCTAGATCTGATACCTCTCATCACTTACCTTGATTCATGCAGGAGGAATACATATCCTTTATTTTTGTCTCCACCTCTATATCCTTATCTGTTTTAGGAGCCTCCAGCAGGTCTGAAGACAAAGTAGAAATGTTATATATTTTTAAATCCAAGAATGTTTTTTCTGCGTTTAGAAATTTCACTATAGATCCAGTCGATCAATCAATATAACACAAAACCTTTTTTTTTACATCAAAGGCATCAATCTACCAGATTGGTTTGTGAGAGTTGTATTGTTGTTGGAACTGTAACGTGATAGCTATGTGTTATTTTCAAACTATTTTCTTTCTAAATACGTATGACTTTGCCGAGTTTTAATTGACGATTATGTTTTCTAATAAACCATTTTGGGAACCGACGTTGGTTTATTAACCCTAACCCTATTAAAACAACAATACCAATGACAACATAAACCGTATGGCAAAGCTACCACCTAATTAACCATGCTACAGTACCTAAATACCTCCGTGTTAAAAAATAGGATTTTATCATATACAAATGTACCTTGTTTATAACGATGTCTGACCTTAGGGACCTGGACATTTATTACAGCTCTAGATGAACCTCAATTGAGGTGTTCAGATTAACAACGGTTAACAATAAGTTTCGATTAAAATCCAATCCCTACGAGGATATTTATGATCACACGGTGTGGCATTATAACCGAAAGTTGCTGTAAACCCCTGAAATGTGTAATATCACCCTGAACACCTCAGTGTAGGTCAAAATTAAAGTATAACAAATTCCCAGGTCCCTGTGTATCTTACGTCATGATATCTGATTATATCATATACCGTTACAATATCTACTTACTTTTTAGGACAACTTGTACGTCATCCCGTAATAACCCGAATACATCTTGACTTGAACGATCCTCCGGGATAATGTTCTTCTTTCGCCACGTCCCACAGGCGAAATCGAAAAAGTTCTCACATGGCTTAACCGTTGTATCCAGATTGTTGAGAAGCATTGCAGCTAGATAGTAAAATATTGTTCAATTCCGATAGTTAATTGTTATTTTTTAACAATTATCTGTACACATAAAACGCAATTCAACATATTCAATATTGAGATTCAATATGAGATCTGAAGTATTCAAAGTCGAACAAAAAGAACAGAAAAGAAAATGCAAGCTCTTCTTTTGTTTCTCTAGACCCCTAATTGCTAATATTACTCGTTTTCTTGTACAGAATAACGTAAGACTACAACTTTGTTAAAATTCCTAAAAGAATTGTTAAGATCGTAAACTTCTTAAAATAAAAAGAAATTGTAGAGATAACTTAATAATACACAAGTGTATTACTAAAAAGAATGTGCATGTAGATATATCTAAATTAATACACGTGTTTATTGTATAATGTATTTGTGTTCAAATATTTAAGTAATGTACGCGTGTTTTATTTACATATTACTAAATAATACGTATATGTGGAGATAAGTTACTAAAAAATGCGCAATTATTTGATTTTCACATTTAGAAATAAAAACTTGTTGTTCCCAAATTAAGATTGCTCAATAGTGCACGTTTGGTCTTATCTGTTAGTTTGGTATGTAATGATTTAAATAAGGCTATTACCTGACTCTGTACAGTCCGTTGTCACGCAGATATCTAAAATAAAATAAAAACGATACGTTAGTCAATTTAGGGAAAAGCATATCCCGCCTATTTTCATACAAGTCCAAACCAACATAAAATGAAAGGAATGTTCGCAATTTTTAATATGAAATTGTTAAAAAGTGTAAGCTTATTTGTTCAAAATTTAACAAAAGTAGTATAGTGTCTCTATTCTTTAAGTTTTGTCTTCTGTTTGCTAGTGACATTTTATATACGTTGAACACTGAAATATGTGTATGTAACTAGACGTATATATGTTATTATGTACTGTGCTATGGTATAGAATGCACTCAAACTATGATATATATACATGACCTCTTGTTATACACCTGTATGTGTATCTGAGTGAAATAAAAATCTTATGTAAGTACACTCGCAACTCCACCATCTAAATTTCAACAGCGTGTAACTGTACTTTACATGCGTTTTACCTTAGTAACCTGGACCGAAAACTGACGATGTTAAATAGGGTACAAATGCATGTGTATCATATATGATATTAGTTTTTCGATAAAATTTCTGAATTTTTAAATTTTATCATTTTTGTAGTAAAGGTGGTGATGCTATGACATTTATTGAATAGTTTAAAATACCAACATGAACATTTGTTTAGCAGCTTTTTAGCAAAATATTATCTTTAGGGGCGGATTCAAGAACTCGTGTAAGTTTACATGTGGCACACTATTTTCAGAATAAACCTTCCAATTCTAGCATAGCTCAAACTAATCCAGTTCCTGTTGATGAAAATTGTGTTTTAAAACAAACATAAAACCAATGTTGTGAAGCCTAGTTGAATTGAATATCACCAACTAGAGAGAGCCCGACAAAATTCTTTTCTATTTCGAGATTGAATTTTACGTATAATTGAAAGGTAGCGATGGGTGGAGATTTGGGAACCTGTTTCTTTTCTGAAAAAACACCCCAATATGCATAGAATATGTAGCAATATTTGTTTGTCCTTGGGGTTTACGTAATTACTCCAAGCCACACCAGAGTGACGAATCTGTTGAAGTATTTATAAAGATGTTGTAAAAAAAAATATTTTAATTGTTGTTGAACGGAGTAGGCAAATAATGCCTCAGACCGGTACACTTTTTCATATATTTTAATACACATTAGAGAGAAAAGAAATTGCAAATTGCTTATTTAAATAAACTTGCATGTTACGTATTTCAAGTGAAATGACAAGTGGGGAAGGGCCATCTTTATTTTCGCATCCCGATTTCAGCCGACATCTAAGCAATATTTAAACGAAACAAATACTTTAAACTACATGTATCATATTTAATCGTGACAGTGACATTCTGATTAACACTTGACATCAATTGGTTTCACGTATACACTTGGGTATACAATTAAAATATACTGCCCGGTGTTTTTACTTTTCAAGTGATCTACGTTCGAGATAATGAAAACACCAAATTGAATGAAAGTTTATGCATTCATGTCTACGTGCTCTAATACTACACCAAAATCAGATACAAAAGGTATTTGTGTAACAGTTTCACTTTTAGACGTTGATATGTGGATATGTAACGGTACACGTATGCATATAGGAGGACTACATGCAATTTATCAGCAGATATGAGAACATTACAGTAGATTATAATTATTACAAATATATGATTCTAAAAAGTCTCACAATTAAACTGGCTCTTACGTCATCTTCTTTTGTTTTAAATCAAGTAATATATAGAGTGTATATTCTGTATAGCCGCTGTGCTATATGCGTATCTTATATACGTTCCTGTCGTATCAGAATCGTCCTCCATTGTGATTTTTACGTAAATAGTGATTTGTATTTGTCCTGTCTTCAACATAAATTGTTAGAGTATTATATTTAGTATGTAATTTCATGCCAAGAACCACACTGGCATACGTGTCCGTTGAGACAAATCAGGAAAGTATAGGAGGGGTGTAGCTCCTGAACCCTAGTTACTGGTATATGGACCAGTTACCCAAACGTGCCACTCTGACGTCACAAGTAACATGTGACCTGTAAGCTTTAAAATTATCGCCGGTAATTATGAGCGGTCACCTTTGCCTATATCTAGGTAACGGAATCGTTCTGAACGCACGTTGATGGATGATATGGTATTTATTTAAGTATAGAACTGGTTTCGATAATTTGTACAAAATGTAAAACAATCGTAGTCAAAACCCTTTCCAAAAAGAAATACTGTGTATGTTGTCCTGGCGATTGTACAGACTTTTCCCCTAAAATGTTTTGTAATTTCAGGACTTGTGTGACAAAAAATAAATGTCTTACTGTATTTGTAATAGTAACATCAAATAGTGTTGTAGAAGTAAAATTGATTTTGATTATAATAGCGAAATTAAATGTGGTTGTAATAATTAAATTGAATGTGGTTGTAATAATTAAATTAAATGTGGTTGTAATAATAAAATTGAATGTGGTTGTAATAGTAAAATTGAATAATTGCATTCTTACCTCTTCATAAACCCATGTTCATCACCCGACTGTGAGAAAACAATGTTAAGTATCAAACCACAACAACAGCCTTACCGGACACCTATTTTACTGATAAGTCACTCTAACGTCACATGAACAAGCACAACGTCCGGATCCTCTGCGATTGTGGTTATCCTATTGAATTTGTGGTGTTACTCTGAACGAGATATAGCAAGAAGCACCCTTTAATGTTAATATTTTACATAGGGGTTGGACGAGTTATTATAAGAGAAATAGACGTAACACACACGTTAATACACCTTTAATGTTAATATTTTACATAGGGATTGGACGAGTTGTTATGAGAGAAATAGACGTAACACACACGTTACTACACCTTTAATGTTAATATTTTACATAGGGATTGGACGAGTTGTTAAAAGAGAAATAGACGTAACACACACGGTACTACACCTTTAAGGTTAATATTTTAAATCGGGGATTGGACGAGTTGTTATAAGAGAAATAGACGTAACACACACGTTCCTACACCTTTAATGTTAATATTTTACATAGGGGTTGGACGAGTTGTTATAAGAGAAATAGACGTTACACACACGTTACTACACCTTTAATGTTGATATTTTGCAGAGGGATTGGACGAGTTGTTATAAGAGAAATAGACGTAACACACACGTTACTACACCTTTAATGTTAATATTTTACAGAGGGATTGGACGAATTGTTATAAGAGAAATAGACGTTACACACACGTTACTACACCTCTAATGTTAATATTTTACAGAGGGATTAGACGAGATGTTATAAGAGAAATAGACGTTACACACACGTTGCTACACCTTAAATGTTAATATTTTACCTAGGGATTGGACGAGTTGTTATAAGAGAAACAGTCGTAACACACACGCCACTACACCTTAAATGTTAATATTTTACATAAGGATTGGACGAGATGTTATAAGAGAAATAGGCGTAACACACACGTTACTACACCTTTAATGTTAATATTTTACATAGGGATTGGACGAGTTGTTATAAGAGAAATAGACGTAATACACACGTTACTACACCTTTAATGATAATATTTTACATAGGGATTGGACGAGTTGTTATAAGAGAAATAGACGTAACACACACGTCACTACACCTTTAATACGTATAGGTGATGCTAGGTACCAAAACGTAGGAAAGCCATATTGGCGAAACTACTGTTGAAAGAAACTACTTGCTTTAACATTCATGCCGGTATGAACGCAAATTGTTTACGTCCATATTGCACAAGACTACTATAGTGTTATGGTAAATATGGATTTTAGAGAATATATTTCTATCGGCATTATAAAATATGCATATTTTCAATCCAACTCGAAACCTATAAAACAACTGAACATCAGAAATGTCCCTTATGTTTGAATTATTGACATTTATGTATTTTCGGTGCTAAACACATTATGGGAACAACCTAAACAACACACTGAATGATTTTATGGACTTACAGCGGACATTCGGTTATAATAAGATTATTAAATTTGTCCATTTGACTATCAGATTACAACTCATTCCGTGATCATACTTTCATGGTATATACATACAACGAATTTTATTATTCATCCACAAAAAGTTAGGTAAATATAATAATCCCTTAGCCATACATAATTATAAAGTTTTTCGAGTTTGTTCATGTTACTTTTCGATTTACATACGTTATTTTTCCGCAGTTTGCTTTACCCTTGTGATATGCCGAGGAATGAATATCAGTCCTGCTTAGAATACTAACTCGTTAATATGTACACTGTACTTATACCGATAAACAGCGACCTGTAACTAAGCTAGAACTCGGTATGCAGGGATTAATTACATACCAATTATCCTACGTTAATGCGACTATAGTAAACAATACAAGACATGTATTTGTTACCTGAAACACTTTGAGATATTAATACCAAGACCACATTTAGAGCTAAAATAGGGTGTGTTATTCACCACTATTGAGGGTATTTATGGGATTTCATTTGTGTTAAGCAATCCCTCCGTACAGGGACCTGAGCATTTGTTACATCACCTGTGTGTATACCTACATTGGTGTGTTAATAAAGATATGACACGTGTTAGGGGTGTATATGAACTCTAGGTAAATATGTCACGACACCCAATGATGGCTAGAACATGTCTGTGGGTGGTATGTTTAGTAAATGTTGATATAAACCTCTAACACGTCTTGTATTACTCATTGTATATACCAGTACAGGTAGGAGTAACCAGATACCCATTATATATACCAGTACGGGTAGAAGTAACATAATACCCATTGTATATACAAGTACAGGTATAAGTAACCAGATACTCATTGTATATGCAGTACAGGTAGGAGTAACCAGATACCAATTGTATATACAAGGACAGGTAGGAGTAACCTGATACCCATGGTATATACCAGTACGTGACAACTGACAAAAGGACTGTTCAAAGTCGTCCTATCTAAACAGCAGGTGAAAATCGTGTTTAATCACATATTAACAATATGTCTGGTTCTTGAAAGAGCACAAAAGGCTATATGGGA